TTTTGCAAATGAGAAATACATTTTTTTATGGTACTTTTTGTGTATGTTTCAATACACATCCTTCTTGTACACGTTAAGGCTGGGACACACCAAGCTGATGGCTGGCCATTGAGCTTCATCAGGCTTCATCAGGTTGTTGAGCATTGATTCAGCTAGTTGGTTTAGTGTCCTCTTATCAGTTTAACCTCAGAGCAAATTTGACTTTCTCAAAACATTATATCTCTCAAATATTTGGAAAGCATTATAGATTACATAAGTGAATCCCTCACAATTACTGTGAAAATGGTATTAAATGCTCCTTTGTTAACGCTTTTAGTTCTGGTTCTGGTTTCCCTTTATGGGATGAGAAAACAGAATACTGCCCACCATAAGTGCAAAAAGACATGTACTCTCATGCAGGGACAAAATGCTATGTCTTTTTTCTGTCTCCTTTCTGTTCTGTCCTATTGGTGTGTTCACGGGCAGCTTTTTGGTTCGGATGGTACCCGATGCAGGGCGACAACACAGGTGGGTTTCAGTTGCACTAGTTGTTTGGTTTGGTCTGTTCCGCTCTTTAATGAGTAAGCGGGGCTTGATGTACTGTTCAACTATACCAGCGAGCACTTCCTTAAATCCAACCAATAGTTTTGACCAGTGTTGGCCACGTTCCTTTAAAAGAGTAATTAGTTACAGTTACTAGTTACTTCTTACAAATAGTAACTGAGTTAGTAACCGAATTATATAATTATAAAAGTTACTATTTAATTACCAGGGAAAGTAACTATTGCGTTACTTTAAGAAAAAATCTAATTTGTCAAATGACTATAAATATAAAACACTGTACACTAATCTACACTATTTTACTGTTGTTGCGGGACAATGTGAGAGACAACCATCAAATTCAACATATCATTATAAATACTATCGTTACTATATGTGAATTACATCTGGTTATAGTTGCACAATACACACAATATGGTTAAGAACTTTAAGTATTTATTGCACAGACCACAACTCACAAGAGCTCACGTTATCACCTGCATTCTTAGCCTCTAATGTTGTGGCCTCATGTAACAAAGTGCAGTGCTTCATTAGATTAGAAGTTCTTGTCACAGATGCAGAGAGACTGTATTCTACCTTGGCATAAGTTTAACAATACATCAACGAGGAAAATAGTGCTTATATTTCCAGTTTACGAAAGCTACGTTTGTACTTGTTGGATTTTCCATCGTTCTGACTCCTGGTTGTTGGTGTGTGCGAACTGACTGCATGTGCTTGTGTGTGAACACCCACACTATTCTCTGACTGGCAAATGATGGAAATGGACTCTATCTAAGCCATGATCTAAGCTAATCATTACAGTTTCAGTTACACCATGTTCACAGACACACCAGTCATCATCGCTGGTTTGTTATGTGTCCCGCCCCAGTCCCAACAAAATAGGAACAGGGGAACCAGTAATTAATTTGATTACTCGTTACTGAAAAAAGAATCGCCGTTACTAACGCCGTTAATTTATAGTGCCGTTATTACCATCACTGGTGTTGACAAAAGCAAGCGTAAGAGAAAACTACACTGCATCACATAGTTTTACCTTTATTTTTACATTCAAATGTAAAAAAATTTTGAACAAAAATTAATTAAAAATTCTCATTATGTTCTTTTAAAATAAATATTTCTGATAGCCTACACATTTGGCAAGAATTCATTCATTCATTCATTTTCTTTTCGGCTTAGTCCCTTTATTAATCCGGGGTCGCCACAGCAGAATGAACCGCCAACTTATCCAGCAAGTTTTTACGCAGCGGATGCCCTTCCAGCCGCAACCCATCTCTGAGAAACATCCACACACACACACAGTACGTGTACAGTACACACACTTGTTTATTCTGCACGATGGCAGGACAAGCTGAGACTGAAATATACTAAAATACACCTGTGTTGGGTGTTGATGGATCAGCTTCTCTGATGAATGGCTTGCCCTCAATGACTGCTGAGTTGAGGTGTCGAGTGTCAGAATGAAGGAGTTTCCCCTCACTAAACCAGGCTATGAAGCACATGCTACTACTGCAGTTTTGCAGTGCTGGTTTGTAACATATTAGATGTAATCTGGATTTATAAAATGTAATGACTAAGGGGTAACCAGATATTCTATTTGTCTAGGGACAGTCCAGAATTTTACTTCTACTTTTAGTGTTCTCACTTATTATGTAACAATCGTCTTTTGTTTCACTTTCCCTTAAGATTCCTAATTCCTGAGCACTACTAGTAGCCATATGCCGCATAAAAACAGCTAATCAATGGCAGCTAATCATGTTATAGTATATTCTGAAGAAAACATTTTCCATCTAATCATATTTTCATATACAGTCAACCACCGAAATAATGGTGTTTGAATGGTTTTGAGATTGACTATAGATCAATAGTCAATCTCAATAGAAGTGTTGGTTAGCAAATAACTCTCCAACTGAATAAAGGCAAGTGTGAATTCATTGTTTTTGGCCAAAAAGGTTTGGATTCTAATGGCAATCTGTCATTGCTTCCTGGTAAAATACATTCCTCTGTAAAAAGTTTTAGTGTCATCTTTAAATCTGAGCTAAAATTTGATCGCCAAATTAATGCGGTTGTCAAAATTAGTTTTTTTTATATTTTAGATATATTGCCAAGCTGAAGTCTGTCCTCTCCTTCTGTGATTTGGAGAAGGTTGTTCATGCTTTCATCTCTTCTCGTCTGGACTAGTGTCACACATTGTATCTGGGTGTGAGTCAGGCCTCTCTCTCGCGACTGCAGCTGGTTCAGAACGCAGCTGCCAGGCTCTTAACAGGCACAAAAAAACGAGAACACATCACACCTGTACTGGTTTCCCTTCACTGGCTGCCAATCCAGTTTAGAGTTCAGTACAAAGTTCTGTTGTATGTTTTTAAATCTCTCCATGGCCTGCCCCCTGAGTATATTTCTGAGCTAATTGTTGTGCACAAACCTGTGAGATCTCTTCGCTCTAATGATCGTCTCTATTTGCAAGTTCCACGATCACGCTTGAAATGTCGAGGAGATAGAGCTTTCTTAATAGCAGCTCCAAGACTTTGGAACGATCTTCCACTCTCTTAAAGAACAGCTCAAACTTTTGAGTGTTTTCAGAGGTCACTGAAAACACACTTACTTTCTTTAGTTTTTAATCATGTGTTGTAAGTTTATGTATTTTGTTTTTGTGTATAGTTGCATGCGTTTTATGTGTTTTATATACAGCAGTTTGGTACCCATTGTGGTTTGTTGAAAGTGCTATAGAAATAAAGTGAGTCGAGTTGTGTTGAGTTGAAAAAGTGTCAGTGAGGAAGAGATTTGCTATAGTTATAGCAGGATAAAGACTTTTAAATATATGTTAATAGACACAGATAAGTGGGCTTGACAAACCACCTGTAGAAAACAAAATTTTTTCATCTTTCTGTCATTTTAACCTGGCTGAGCCTGGTCATAACCTGGATGGGAGACCACATGGGAAAAATAGGTTGCTGATGGAGGTGGTGTTAGTGAGGCCAGCAGGGGATTCTCAATATGAGGTATGTGTGAGTCCTAATACCCCAGTATAGTGAAGGGGACACTATACTGTCAGTGAGCGACATCTTTCGGATGAGAAATTAAACCGAGGTCCTGAATCTTGCGGTCATTAAAAATTTGATAGTACTTTTCGTAAAAGAGTACAGGTGTAACCCTTGTGTCCTAGCTAAATTCCTTCCATTGGCCTCCCAATCATTCCCATCGACTGGCTGTATCATGATCTCCCCACTCTATCAATAGCTTTTATGTGGTGAGTGCACTGGCAACGTTGTCCTGTGGCTGCATCGCATCATCCAAGTGGATGCTACAGTACACACTGGTGGTGGTGTGGAGAGACCTTCTTCTCATGATTGTAACTTACTTTGGGTGTATGGCTATACACGATAAATGTGCTATATAAATACACATTGCTTACTTAACAGACACTTGTACTAGTTTTGCACATTTGCACCAGACACTTTCTTATAACTATTAAACATCTCAAACAAACAAACAAACATTTATGAAGTGAGCTTTACACTGGTGAGTGGGCTTGACAAACCAAATGTTGAAACACGCTTCTCTCTCTAAAAATCCCACACAGTTTCTTTGTATAATCAGCACTTCTTGTGTCTACTGCATCTTCATTTAATCACTGAATTCCTCTTCTATTGTAAGTCGCTTTGTACTAAATGACTAAATGTAACTGTGTAAATGTGAAAGACTTTCTAAAAATGGTTTGTTTCCCAAATAATCGTCAAATTAGTGCTTCAAATGGAAAACACTACCAATAAAACAGCTTATGAAATGCCACATGACACTTTACAACTACTTTAGGAAAGTAATTTTCTTGGATTCATTTGCCATTCAAATATCAAATAAGATATTTGGCAACAAATGAAAACAGAAATAATTAAATTAGGTCAAAACTAAAGAAAAAGTAATCCAATATGTTACTTGTATGATCAAACTAATTTTGTTACTGACTGCAGTACTGACTAAATTCATTCATTCATATTCCTTTGGCTTAGTCTCTTTATTCATCAGGAGTCGCCACAGCTGAATGAACCACATTCCAGCATATGTTTTACACAGCGGAAGCCCTTCCAGCTGCAAACCAATGCTGGGAAACAACCATACAGACTCAATCACACCCAAATACTACAGCCAATTTAGTTTATTCAATTTACCTGTAGCGCATGTCTTTTGACTGTGGGGGAAACCTGAGCACCCTGAGGAAACCCACGCGAGCACGGGGAGAACATGCAATCTCCACACAGAAATGCCAACTGGCCTAGCTGGGACTTGAACCTGCGACCTTCATGTTACTGACCTAAGAAATAACAAATAACCAGGAACTGTATTTTAAGCATGTTGATTCTTGAATGAGGGTGTTTTCCTGTCCTCTTTTTCATCTAAAGATATGTGACACCTATATTCATTAAACTTTCTCTTTTAACTAAGAACTCTTTCATTTATTTCAACAGTGCCATGTCCTCGGGGAGATGATCAGGATGAAACACAAACATATTATAAGAACCTGCTGTTTTTTGAGCTTCTGATTAATCACTTTCAGTTGTGACTCCACCCTTGTTTTCCAAAACGATTACCTGCCAGGAATTATTCTGCATAATTCAGACACCCTAAGTGACAAAACAGGAGTTAGACAAAATGGAAAATGTAAGCCAGGAGTCCAGAGCTGAACGGATCGCTCGCTACAAAGCAGAGAGGCGGAGAGAGCTGGCAGAACGTTACGGCAGCCAAGAAGAGGAGCTTCCATCAAAGTGGTCTAAAAGAGAGAGGGAGGGTCGTGGCATTCGTGACTCTAGCTTTGCGGATACGTCTGTTTCTGGTGGAATAAATGGAGGGACAGGGAGGAATGGACGAGCAACACTGGAAGAGAGGACTGCAAAGATTTCCAATGGATATAAGATGGATACCAGTGGAGAAAACACAAAGAACAGGTGAGATGGCCTGAGACTTTATAGCATACACAGATTTGTGTCATCAAATAGTTTACCTGATATTTCTATTTAAACGATCAATTATAGCAATTAAAAATGCATCTTTGAAAGTAAAATTGCATATAGCAAAAATGAACTTTTTAATTGATGTTTGAAATGACAGATTAAAGATAAATATGTTTGAAATATAATTTAAAGTATTTTTACTTGCACAAAATGCATTCATAATTTTATTAGTTAAGGATTCTTAATTAAGGATTTGTTAGTAAATTGTTAGTTAAGGAATCTTTAGGTGCATAGCATAGGCCCCTTGGATATATTCTAATACCCACACCAGTGCAGCAAGCAAGCAAGCAAGCAAACAAACAAACAAACAAACAAACAAACTTTGCATAAATTATTTGCATAGTTTATTGGTTTATTTTTGGATCTATTCATTTCTTTATTTGTTCATCTAAACAAAAAAATCTTAGTAATTGTTCAAACTAAATGGTTCCTTCATTCAGAAATGGCTCAGATTATTGTAATTAGCATATTTATTTTATTTAAACAATCTATTTTTTTAAAACTATTTTTTTTAAAAACTATTACATTTGTTAAAATAGAAACTATATGAATATGGGTAGTGTGGCTATCAGTATTCAGTCAAATGTTTGAGCTTCACATAGTTAAATCATCATTTTGAAAGAATAAGGTTTTATTTGCATTAAATGATTTTGAGATATTGAGCTTCAAAGTTTTTGTATTCCATATTGCAAAATATGTGTGAAACAGTTCTCTTTCATGCACTAACATGATAGAGACCCTAAATGTACTCTAATTATCAAAATTCTTTACATTTTCTTGTTCAAATTAAGCATTCAAAGCTGTGCTAAACATTTTGTCCAGTGCAGATGTTATTTTTTTGTAAATAATATGGTAATAATTATATACCACATGAATAAAATTCAGTATTCCATTCAAGTAAGCCCCTCAAGGCTCGATATCAAATTTCAAGACTTTAAAGAAAACCGACAATGAGCAAATTAGTTGTTTAACAAAGTTTAATAAACACTGAAAAAATGTTTTACTGACTCTATATTTACACAAATAAAAACATTTCACATTTAACATATTGCATTTTTTATTAACTAAATCATCACATTTACACACATAATTTCAGTTTCAGGTTTCTTCTAATTTTTTTTAAATCTAAATTTCCTTTTAATTTTAAGGTGACGAAAGAAGTGTAGGCTATTGTGTATTTAAATACAAGAAAGTATGCATGTTTAATTTATGATTGACAATTATTTCTTTATATCAACATATTTTTTATTTGCTGTTATCAAATGTAAGTCCGGGAGGATTTAATCTTCAAATTTTTACCAGGATAAGGAAGCAACCTTATTTATTCTGCTATGGCAGATATTTTGCCATTCCCTCTTCTTTTTCTTTATGTATTTCACTCATGAAAACATCAGTTGTATTTGGCGAGGCAAATCAAGTTGCCAAAATAACTTGTGAAAAAACTTGGTGAATCATTTAGTCCTAAATGCACTACCGGTCAAAAGTTTGGGGTCGTTTTTTTTTCATGTTTTATTTTTTTAAGAAAATTATTCTGTTCATCAAGGTGGCATTTATTAAATGTAAACATTTTAAATACTTAAATATTAAATATTTATTTATTACCTATTGTATGTAGTTTCAAATAAAATTATTAATCCAGTCATTATTTATTTTGTTACTATTACCATTAATAGTAATAATGGCGGCGGGGTGGCGCAGTGGGTATCACTGTTGCCTCACAGCAAGAAGAACGCTGGTTCGAGCCTCGGCTGGGTCAGTTGGCATTTCTGTGTGGAGTTTGCATGTTCTCCCCATGTTTGGGTGGGTTTCCTCCGAGTGCTCCAGTTTCCGCCACAGTCCAAACACATGTGCTATAGGTGAATTGAATAAGCTAAATTGTCCGTAGTGTATGTGTGTGAATGAGAATGTATATGTATACCAGGGTTGCAGCTGGAAGGGCATCTGCTGTGTAAAACATATGCTGGGTTAGTTCATTCCGCTGTGGCGACCCCTGGTGAATAAATAGACTAAGCCAAAAAAGAAAATGAATTAATGAATACATAGTAATAAGAATATTATTATTATTATTATTATTAATAATAATAATAACAATAATTATAACTAATATCAGAGTGATTTCTGATGGATCGTGTGACTCTAAAGACTGGAGTAATAAATCTGAAAATTCATCATTAAAATTACTGGAATAAATGATTAAATTAAATGACTACTTTTGAACAGCTCTTTTATAGTGCAATAATATTTTTACAACTTGTACTGTATTCATGATTAAATAACTGCAGCCTTGGTGAGCAGGAGAAGCTTATTTTAAAACATTAAAAAATCCTACTGACCCCAAACTTGTGGAGCATATCTTTGTTTCGTCGTCTACATTCCATCTAGCCTTGTCCGTGGTGTGCATGTCTGTCTTGCACACTTTATTTCCTGCAGTTCTGAAGTCCTCTGCTTCTCTCCATCACCCTCTCCAGGGCATGTGTGATGGGCTTGTCTGGTACGGTGGATGGAGAAAGCCCTCCAGACTCAACCTCTGATACACCGCTGTTACACACTCATGTTTCAGTAGGCCAGCTGAAGAACGCTCTTCTACAGCAAAACAGCAGTCCAGCTGCATCTGATAGAGTGTAGGGATACCTCAGTGTGTGTGTGTGTGTGTGTGTGTGTATTCAGCTCTGCTTGATATTTATTACCACCACAGAAATAGCACTTACACATATCTAAGCAGAGATGAGCCTAAAGACACTAGGGATTTGCAGAAGGATAGATAGATAGATAGATAGATAGATAGATAGATAGATAGATAGATAGATAGATAGATAGATAGATAGATAGATAGATAGATAGATAGATAGATAGACAGACAGACAGACAGACAGACAGACAGAAGGACGGACGGACGGACGGACGGAGGGACGGACAGACGGATGGATGGATGGATAGTTGGGTGGATGGATGGGTGGGGGTGGGTTAATGGATGGATGGATGGATAGACAAATAGACAGACAGATAGATAGATAGATAGATAGATAGATAGATAGATAGATAGATAGATAGATAGATAGATAGATAGATAGATAGATAGATAGATAGATAGATAGATAGATAGATGGATAGATGGATGGATGGATGGATAGATGGATGGATGGATGGATGGATGGATGGGTGGGTGGGTGGATGGGTGGGGGTGGGTTTATGGATGGATGGATGGATAGACAAATAGATAGATAGACAGACAGACAGATAGATAGATAGATAGATAGATAGATAGATAGATAGATAGATAGATAGATAGATAGATGGATAGATGGATGGATGGATGGATAGATGGATGGATGGATGGATGGATGGATGGGTGGGTGGGTGGGTGGATGGGTGGGGGTGGGTTTATGGATGGATGGATGGATAGACAAATAGATAGATAGACAGACAGACAGATAGATAGATAGATAGATAGATAGATAGATAGATAGATTTTTACAGTCACAACAATTTTTACAGTGATAATAATGAACTGGGACGTCACAGTGGCACATTGGATAGCACGATCGCCTTACAGCAAGAAGGTCGCTGGTTCGAGCCTCGGCTGGGTCAGTTGGCATTTCTGTGTGGAGTGTGCATGTTCTCCCTGTGATTAAGTGGGTTTCCTTCGAGTGCTCCGGTTTCATGTGGTTCAGGTGAATTGAGTAGGCTAAATTGTTTGTAGTGAGTGTGAATGAGAGTGTATAGATGTTTCCCAGAGATGGGTTGCAGCTGGAAGGGCATCCGCTGCATAAAACATATACTGAATAAGTTGGCGGTTCATTCCGCTGTGGTGACCCCAGCTTAATAAGGGAATTTAAGTGTGTACAGCACACATTTTGTGGTTCTAACACAATGCTAATGTGCAGCAGTAGTTTTGGCGAGTGTGTGATTGACACTGTCTAACTCTCCATCATCTCTGTGCTGTGAGGATGAGCAGTGTTTCTCTTCATCTGTCTGTTTCTCTCTCTCTCACAAACACACACACATACCTCCTGTCGTCCATCTATTCTGCTCTTTCTGCTGTACACTAGAGTGGCTGATGGTGATGTGGTGGCCTTGACTCTTGATCTGGCGGGTCAGCCTGAGGGAAATCGCCGTCGTGCCCGTCGGTACCTGCCAGGAGATCCTGCTGCGAGCCGCAAAAACAGTGAACGCTTCCGTACGCAACCCATTACAGCCTTTGAGATACAGGAGAGCTGCGGGTACCCAGACCGTCTTTGAGATACACTCACGTCTGCAGTCTGTTGAATACATAGACACAGTCATTTACTGTATTCAGGTGTTGTGCTTGTTAACCTCATTAACCCTTTATTAATGTGACAAATACTACAGTATTCATACAGTATTGTTTATGTAGTCACTTTTTACTTTTTTTAAACAAAAATACGTACACAGATTATTTGTTGACAGCATAAGCAAGTAAATAACTACACTGTAAAAAATAAAACAGCATATGTTTTTAGGTCATTGTAACTTATTAAACTAAGTTAATCATGTTCTAACTTAATTTTATAAGTTTCGCAAGTTGTTTTAAGTCAGTTTAACATAATATAGGTTAAATGGATTTATAGATTAATTTGATTCAGCTTAAACATTTAAGGCAACCAGAATTTTTTTAAACTGTCTAAATAAATAAGTAAAATACCAAAAAGAAGAGGTGTACACTTTATGATAAACTGCTATGCAGAAGGTTCAGGAAGATTTTATTTTAAATAAATAAACTTTTTGCAAATGCATTAAATTGAAACTAAGGGCCCTATCATACACCCGGCGCAGTGTGGCGCAAAGCGTGGCGCAGTAGTCTTTTGGTAGTTTAAGCTTGGCGCAAGAGTCGTTTTGAGGCGTTACGCTACGCTCTTTAAATAGCAAATGCATTAGCGTTCATTTTTGCGTCCATAGGCGTTCTGGTCTAAAAAGGGAGGCGTTCTGAGGCAGACCGCTGGCGCGTTGCTATTTTGAGTTGCGCCTCGCTTACAGACTGCTTAATACGCACAAGAGAGATATCTTTACATATGAAAAAATACATATAAAGAAATATCTTTACATATGAAAAAATGTAAATATTAAGGATATATATATATATATATATATATATATATATATATATATATATATATATATATATATATATAGTATATAATAAGAATAGATATAGAATATAAATATAAAGGATTAAAATATTACAAAACATAATATTTTCTAGCCTACATAAATATGAAAAATCACTGTTTTATGTCTTCTTCATCTCGGGAGGCTTTTTCAGTTCATTCATAACAATTTGCTTTTGTATAATGTTATTATTATTAGCAGTATTATTTATTATATCCATATTTATGTTTGTTTTATTAAAAACAAGCTTAGATTTGCCCACCTGTCAGGTTTTAGAGCATATGGGGCACAGCATGTGTTTTAGGATATAACTCAGGTTTTAGAGCAAATTTTGCTATTATTATTCATTTATTCGTTTGCTGGAAATTAGAACTGAATTTAGAAATAGTTTTGAAACGAATATTTGCGCTTAACAAACAAACGTATATATAGACTAATTGATGTCTGTGCGTAAAGGTTTCCCTATCCAAGAGCGAAAGTGAAAGTTATTATCTCTTATTCTCACGCAGTAGATGCTCTGTTTGACAGTTTTCTGTTAAAAAACTGTTAACTGTGAACTGTTTGCTTATGAAATGCTCATTTTTTCCACTTAGACTTACTTTGCGTCCTGTTAATGGCGAATGCGCTTTTGGCGCGACACAGCTGACTCTTAAAGGGAATGGGAGATGAGACTCTAATTGGTTTATTCTCAAAACACACCTATAACTCATTAAGAAAATATACTCAACCCTTTTAGAACACGCGCCGCGGCGCAAGGCAGATTTCCCGTCCTTAAATTAGCAAAAACGCATCCTGACACGCCCTGAAAGCGTTTGCGCCCTGCGTTTTGCTCTGTGCATGGACCGTCAAAATAGAGCCCTAAAAGTTTATTTTACAAATTTACCAATTTATTTGACTAATTTAGTTTTAAATTGTTTTATTATAGTGTTTAGTCTTACACAATGTGTCAAACAAATGTCTTTTTTTATTTATCAGAGAATATTAGGAAAATGTTTACACAAAATTATTAAGAGGCACAATTGCTTTCATCAAAAGTAAAAATAATCACTGTATTAAAATCACCATATTCGAATGATTCTGTTGGATCATATAACATTAGTGTTTTAATGATTTTTAAATATACAGTGCATGCAGAAATTATTGATAGCGCTTCACTTTTTCCACATTTTTTATGCTACAGCCTACTTCCAAAATTGATAAAATTAATTTATTTCCTCAAAATTCTACACACAATACCCCGTAACACAGCACACCGCCAAAATATCAATGGAGTGGCTTTACAACAACTCTGTGAATGTCCTTGAGTGGCCCAGCCAGAGCCCAGACCTAAATCTCATTGAACATCTCTGGAGAGATCTGAAAATGACTACGCCGTCGCTTCCCATCTAACCTGATAGAGCAGGTGTGCCAAGCTTGTTACATCATATTCAAAAAGACTTGAGGCTGTAATTGCTGCCAAAGGTGCATCAACAAAGTATTGAGCAAAGGCTGTGAATACTGATGTACATGTGATTTTTCAGGTCAATAAATTGCAACAATTTAAAAAAAACATTTTTTTCACATAGTCATTATGGGCTATTGTGTGTAGAATTTTGAGGAAATAAATTTATTTAATCTATTTTGGAATAAGGCTGTAACATAAAAATTGTGGATAAAGTGAAGCGCTATGAATACTTTCCGGATGGACTGTATTAAAATATCAAACATTTATTTTAAATTGTAAAAATATTTACATAATTGATTGCATTTTAATATTAACAGTTTCACTTTTGCAAGCTTGGTGTGTTAATAATAATAATAAATCATATATATATAATACATTTATGATAACTTATTATATTTATTGAACTTATTGTATTTGACATTTTCTGTATTTTGTATGAAACACTACAGCATTGGTGAAATAAGAGACTCAAGAGATCATAATATACCAAGACATATTTTCAGTATTATTTTACCACAGCTCACATGATAAGAAAAATGAATATTATATTAAAATTATATTATATTATATTATATTATATTATATTATATTATATTATATTATATTATGTTATGTTATGTTATATTATATTATATTATATTATATTATATTATATTATGTTATATTATATTATATTATATTATATTATATTATATTATATTATATTATATTATATTATATTATATTATATTATATTATATTATATTATATTATATTATATTATATTTTGTCATAATAAATTCACAATTTATTAAATTATTACCTTATTAAAATACTTTAATATTAACTTAACATTCTGACAAATGTTAAATTAGTGTTTTGAGTCATTTTGAATAATTTGTGAGTATAATTAAAGAGTTATTAGGGGTTTTTGTTCTCCTTTATTATCACACATACCTGTGCTATATTATCAGATGTCAGAGATCATCAGTCATGAGGTAGTAAATGAGTTCAGCATGAATTCTGTGTGCTTGATCAGGGTGTGTAGGAGCTCATCGTTTTAATAGTTTGCATTATGTCATGCTTATAACCTGCACAGATGTGTCTGAGAGTGCATGTGTCATAATTTGCCAGAGAGGCTTGTTAAAGCAGATCTGGTGTGAAGTCATCTCACTTCATTCTGCAAAACCTCTATTACTTTGCATGAGAAACGCTGAGAGGGTGTTGAAGTGTGAGCTTGATTGACTCGTTCATCTTCTTTGACTTAGTAAGTGGTTAACTCTGATATAAGACTTACCACTGATAAACTTTTTTTATTCTGCAGAACGGTGGATGGTGAAAATCAGGACACTTCACAAAGTAAGTGCTAAAATACCATTTTACTATTACATATTTAGAGCCTGAAACTGAAATGTTTGATATTTTCTGCATTTTAATTGGTGTTATGATAGTTTTTAATTTAAACTATCTCAATTGTTTCATGTCGATTAAGTTAACTAATTGTACAAATTTAGGACTACATTTTCAGAATAAGCCTGTGTTTGTTGCTTAAGTTTGTGATGTTTCAGCTCATTTTAAGTGAGTTGTTTGAACAAGCAGCTAACATCATTTTTGAGGGTAAAGTCAGCAAGTGGGAAGGTCATTGCACTTCTTAACTGCTTTGGTTTTAATTACAGTGAAGATATTCAGTTAAAATTAGGTTCGAATTCTAAAAACTTATTAAGTTGAGTCGACATTATTGTTATAAGCAAAAGTTTTGATGCTGTAAGACAAAAGTATTATAGTTTTGTTCAAAGAGTTTCTGTTTTTTTAAACCATGGTTCCATTTATCAAAACTCAAATTTTATGAATTGTAATTATTTTACGTTTTGTCAGTTTAGTGGCGAATTCATACAAGTTTGGTTGTATGAAAATACATGATTTTAAAAAGGAGGCGTGGCACCCAATCCCCACCAACAAACCCAACTGTCATTGGGTGAAAAGCAAATCATACTAAATTGTACGAATGAGACTTTAAGAATTCATATGAATTAGCCACTAAATCAAAAAGTTACAAATTGCTGTGAGATTTTACATACAAAATGCACAAATGTCACATTTCTTTAACAAATATATTAACTCATCTAAATGTTTTATTTTTGCATAGTAACTCAACACACTAGCATACAAATATTAGCCAAGTGCATTTTATATGGAGTATGCATGTATATTTAGTAAAAACTTATGTCATTTTACAAAAATTTGTGTGTGTGATAAATAGTTCTATTCTAAAAACATAGTATTTTGTATTTCTATTAGGGCTTGTAAAATTATAAGCGAGACATTTTGAATATATGTAAGCTTTTCCCAATAAAACACAAGAGCTGCTAGTTTATATAATATTTAATGTATAGTAAACTGTTTAGATTCCTTCAAAACGTTTGTTTTATAATGGTTTAAAGGGCATCTATGATGAAGGTATAGGGTCTTCATAGTCATACTGAAGTGTATAAACACAATAGACTCTATTTTGAAGATCCATGCACAAAGCGCAGGGCGCAAACGCTTTCACGGCGTGTGTCAGAATCCATTTTTGTTAAGGACGGAAAAATCCACTTTGCGCTGTGGCGCATAGTCTAAAAGGGTTGAGCTCATTTTCTTAAAGAGTTATAGCTGTGTTTTGAGAATAAACCAATCAGAGTCTCATCTCCCATTCCCTTTAAGAGTCAGTTGCATCGCGCCACAAGCGCGTTTGCTATTCACATGACAACTTTGTAAGTGGAAAAACTGAACATTTCACTAGCAAGAAAACAGAACATCTGCAGCCCGAGAATGAAAGATAAGGCATCTCATAATCGACTTTCACTTTCGCTCTCGTTGAAAGGGAAACCTTGTATGCACAGACATCAATTAGCCTATGAATAATTAATTTCGGGCGAAGCAGTGGCGCAGTAGGTAGTGCTGTCTCCTCACAGCAAGAAGGTTGCTGGGTCGCTGGTTCGAGTCTCGGCTCAGTTGGCGTTTCTGTGTGGAGTTTACATGTTCTCTCTGTGTTTGTGTGGGTTTCCTCTGGGTGCTCCGGTTTCCCCCACAGTCCAAAGAGATGCGGTACAGGTGAATTGGGTAGGCTAAATTGTCCATAGTGTGTGTGGATGTTTCCCAGAAATGGGTTGCGGCTGGAAGGGCATCCGCTGCGTAAAAGCTTGATGGATAGGTTGGTGGTTCATTCCGCTGTGGTGACCATGGATTAAAAATGGGACTAAGCCGACAACAGAAAATGAATAATTAATTTTGTTTGTTAAGCTCAAAGATTTGTTTCAAAACTATTTCTAAATTCAGTTCTAATTTTCAGCAAATGAATAAATGAACAATAATAAATAAGTGTGTTCAAAAACCTGAGTTATATCCAAATACACATGCTGTGCCCCATATGGTCTGAAACCTGACAGGTGGGCAAATCTAAGCTTGTTTTTAATAAAACAAATATAAATATGGATATAATAAAAAATACCGCTAATAATGATAACATTATGCAAAAGCAAATTGTTATGAATGAACTGCAAAAGCCTCGCTCTGTGTGTGTCTGCTGTGTGTTTGTAACCTAACCTAAGTATTGGCATTTTGTGTGACTCATCATCACAGAAAGAATGTTTGATATACCGCACGTCGTATAAGAGAAAAAAACCTCTGCATTTCTCGGTAACTCAGATGCACTCTTTAAGTCAGAAAGCCGTGTGTGTGTAGACTATCCTGTCACAAAACGTGGTGAAAATTTAACACGATGATCGGTAAAAGTTTGGTGTTTACACTCGGAGAGCAGCATTTACAGCAGATCTTTCAGTCCATAATATTGTAGTGATATTAACATACTGTAAACTAAGTAACTTAGAAATCATTTTGACTAAGGTCTGTCTTTAAACACTGAAAGAGTACTGCTGATTCGAACTAACTTTGCCATCTGAATAAAGATACAAAGACCACTGATCGCTTACCAAATCTATAGAGAAAGGACAATCAACATCAACTGGAGCTATGTCTTTTTTTAAAGGAGATGAGCAGCAAATCTGGATTTCACCATTTCTAGATGCGAAAAGCTCTCGAGTAAAAAATGTTCCGTACAAACATATTTCTGCCGTGTGCCGCGTGCACTGTAATCCACACGTTAGTCCAGCTGCGCTCTCATAGCGAGAAAATGAAAACAAAACCTTCGTTCCAGCACATTTCTCTCTTGCGTCTGAACACTGCTTCAGCTAAAACTGTCTTCAAAGCTATCATGCATACTAATGAAGTTGCACCGCATACACAATACTGCATGTTGATGCAGTCTTTCTCATGAATGAATGCAGCACGCTTAGAGACGTTACAAAGTACTCCCAGGTACAGACAGCCAGTCTACACGCTGGAATACACGCAAGGATCTAATTGCCGTGACGCAGCTTCAAAAATTCGCTTCAAACCGGAAGAATGAATTTGCTCGAAGTAATGCAAAAACAACCAATTTTCATTTTTTTGTGAAATATATGTGTCTTAATAGTGTTTTTTTTTTTTTTTTTTGTCTTAATAGTGTTTGTAGCAGCATGGGACACATATATGACGGTCAACAGCTTAAAAAAGGTGTTTTGGTGTTTCATGACTCTTTAAATCTTGAAAAAGGGGGGAAAATAGGTGCTCTTTAAAGCACACAATATGCTTATAGTTTTGCAGGCTTGGTCTAAAGCTTATAATAGTGGGTGATACTAAAGTTTCACTTTTAGCATAAACCCCCCCAAAAATTTCAGAATTCATGCATAAAGCATTATAAATGTTGCATTAAATGTCTTTTTTTTTTTTTTACTTTTAAATGTATCCTTGCTAAATAAAATTATTCATTTTCTTCACAAAAAGTGCAAACTTTTATAAAAGTAGCATATATATATATATATATATATATATATATGTACATGTGAAAAGGTTTTCATAAATGGTTCTTTAACCATAGTCTGAAGAGTTTTTTTAAAAAGTTTCACACTGTAAAAAATGCTGGGTTCCGCACAATTCCTTCATGTTGTCCTAACACAAAGCAATTAACTTAACTTAATTATTTTTACAAATTTAAGTAGATTGAACATAAAATAATGAAGTTGTCCCAAAAAAAAAACCCTTAGGAATTGTGTAGATTGAAATAATTAAAAAAAATGTAGTGTGAACAAGCAGCAAAAGTAATTTTTCTGCTTCATACCATAAATGCAGTATACCTTTAAAAACTTAGATTTTATAAAGCTGCTGAATGTATGATTGAATAAAATGATGCGTCTGAATGAGACTGTGTGTGTAGTAGATACTGTGTGTGATACTAGTAAATCAAAACATAAACACACTCTCACACACTTTTACACATGCATATATTCTAAGTAATGGATACTGTCGTAAACAGTTATTATAAACCTCCGTTTATTACTGATGAGAGGTTAAATCTTATGAGGCCGTATTAAAGCAAGCTTAAAGAAATCTGAGAAATGTTAGCCGTGCTTTTGAGGAGTGTATCAATGACACTTACATAATCATCCATTAATTCCTCAAACACATTTAGTATAATAAGTTCACACATGGCCTTGGAGACAAATGGACTCAAGCGTGTGTGCGTGTGTGTGTGTGTGTGTGTGTGTGTGTGTGTGTGTGTGTGTGTGTGTGTGTGTGTATGTGTGCATGTGTGAGTGCCATAAATGTGCCAGTCAAGAAAAGTACACACAGGTGAAGATTACATCTGCCAGCCTGTTTGTCTATTCGGCCAAACACACTGAAATGATACATTTGTTAGTCATTTGATGATCTCATGAAGAATCTGCACTGCTATGATCTAATGTGAATCAAATGCACATGTATGTGTGTGTGTGTGTGTGTGTGTGTGTGTGTGTGTGTGTGTGTGTGTGTAGCTATAGTAGTTATAGTTTTGGTTAATTTCATCAATTTTTGTATCTGACAATAATATTTTATTTTATTTTTTTGTTTATTTATTATTTTATTTTAAAACAGTTGTATCTCTGCCAAACATTGTCCGATCCTAATAAAGTCAACATCAGTTTAAAGCCTATTTAGCTTTCAGATAACACCTTAATCTTGTTAATTTAGTTAAATGATTCCTTCTCCAAATACCAAATGCCATTTTAGAGGGTGTTTTCTGTGAATCATAATTATTTGTCTGATTACATACAACTTTGGACACTAAAGTTTTGAGCTCATACAATAATCAAATTTATGTTCTGGAAGTTTAAGCTAATTAGTGCTCATTTATTTATATAACACCCCATTAGCATACCTAAAAAGCATTGCAGAAAACCTGAATGTATGTAAACTTCTGAATGTAATAATCAGACTAAGAAGTAGAATATTGATACCTGGATCTAATTTAGTTAAATATTTCTCATCCCGTCAGTCTTAGCATAACTATAAAACAACATAAATATGGTATATTTACATTTAATGTATGTGCAGCAGGATCAGCTTATCCAGTTCATTTGATGGAGTCTATTGTGCTTTTGTCAGTATTGATTACTGTGGCATTTCTGTTACTCTGAAGTGCATGTGAGTGTCTTGGAGCTGTGTTTGACCATGTAATGTGCTTGCTGTGTTTCTTGCAGTGGATGCAAAGACGGATGACAGAGCCAAGATGAGCGTAGCTGCCAAGATGTCTCTGTTTAAAGTAGGTGAAACAAGAGCTCAGCGTATCTCTTTAGCAAGTGCTGCAGCCTGAATAGAAAAAGGTCATTGCCATGGTTGAGAACACACACACACATGCACACACAACACAATGATTTTTTATATAAACTGTATAATCTATCCCTACCCTTAAACCCAAACCTCACAGAAAAGAATCTGCATTTTCATTATTCAGCTAATTCTCTATTTCAGAGGTCTCTACAGTGGAATGAACCACCAATCTGGGTGTTAATTTTTTTTTTTTAAATATTTAATTCTGTATGAATTATGAGCTGTTTCTCTCACGTGGACCAAAGAAAAATGTGCCCACAAGTTTTAAATTTACTGGTTTTGCTTACTTTTGGAGACATTTAATCTTCACAATGTAAGAAACACAAGGTACACACACACACACACACACACACACACACACACACACACACACACACACACACACACACACACACACACACACACACACACACACACAAAAAAAAAAAAACTTGTATATATTTATCCTAGTAGGGACTTTCCCTCGTAATATAAGCTAATAATAATTACTGTAGGCTATACTTATCCATTACCATAAAATGTATTAAATAATAATAATGAATTATTTTATTGGCATCATCTGATTTTTCAGAAATGACACATAGAAACTGAGAATACTTAAATTCAAGGACATTTTTTAATCTTGCAGAATTTGTTATGGATTAAGCAGAAAAGAAATTAATTTTGAAGTCATTTATTTCGCTAGGCATTTCTAAGCTTTCTGCTCCAGTGTGTGTGTTTTTTTCTTCTTCTGTGTTCTTGTGCTTTTGTCTGTCTTTGGGACGTAGGTGGTAATAGGAGAGCTGGAGTGTTTGGTTACAGTGTGACCTGCTGGATTTCATTCGTTACTGTGACTTCCTTACCCAGACTGCCAACCCTGGCTCTGTTTTATTCATCTTGCCACTGACCCACTTCACCACACACAGACACAGTCATTAAGTGCAATGCTGTTAGATTTATTTTTTTCATAGAAATGGTAGAACTTGTTCACCAAGAATTGCAGTTCTGTTATTAAATTATTTACCCACGTTGAGAAGAGAAGTTATTCATTTTTTGCTTTGAATATATTAGCAGATTGTCTCAGAAGATTTGACAAATAAATTGTTTTTTTTATTAGTCAATAGAAAATACATATATATTTATTAAGAGGGGCTAATAATATTGATCTTAATGTTGTTTAAAAAAAAAACTAAAGCTGTTTTTATTTTCTTTTTACATAAAACGAAAGTGAGTTGTGACCAGGGATTACATATGGCATGATGCATGATCTTATAATAGCGTATATAGAGGTAAAAGTAAAATGATTAGCCCTCCTGTTGAATTTTTAAGTGATGTTTAACAAAGCATACCATTTTTTCCTCAGTATTTCATATAATAATGTTTTTTTCTTGTTTATTTTAGTTTGATTAGAATAAAAACAGCTTTAAGAATATAAACAACATTAAGATCAATATTATTAGCCCCTCTTAATAAATATATATATGTATTTTCTACTGACTAATAAAAATATATATTTATTTGTCAAATTTGAACATTATTGTCTATTGTCTTGCCTAGTTAACCCATATAGGTAGGTAGGTTACACTCTTTACACTGGCTTTCAGTTGCATTCAGAATAGGTTTTAAGCAATATTACTTGTCTATAAATCACTAAATAACCTATTGCACTTTAAATTGAATATTAGTATCTTGAAAAAAAACCAACCTAATAAAATATGATGTCACCATGGCAAAGACAAAATAAATCAGTTATTAGAAATTAGTTATGTAAACTATTATGTTTCTATTATGTATCTATTATTAAAGAGTATACGCAAGCATGGATAGAATTTGATGAGTTAAATCTTCTCACATAAAATAGTCAAATACACCACTTCTATGGCTTTTTGAAAGTTTTGTAGAGTCATTGCCGCAGTCTCCATTGACATTCAAGGCAAGGCAAGGCAAGTTTATTTATATAGCACATTTTATACCCAGTGGCAATTAACATAAACAGGAATAAAAGTATAAGAAAATAAGAACAAATAAAAAGTAAAAACAGATTAAAATGTGTTAAAACAGGTTATAAAATAATTAAAATAAAAAGAATGACATAATAGTGTCATCTGTTGGACATACTGTAGCACAGTGCTCATTCAGTAAAGGCACAGCTAAACAGATGTGTTTTCAGTCTGGATTTGAACGTGTTTAATGTTGGAGCACATCTGATCATTTTTAAAAGCTGATTCCTGCAGCAGGGGCGTAGTAGCTGAAGGCAGATTTATCCTGCTTTGACTGAATTCTTGGAATTTCTAATTTATTTGGTCATCTGAGTGATCAGTTTGGTTTGTGTTCAGTAGGCATATCTGTAATGAGGTCCTAGGCTATTCAGTGATAGACAAGTAATAATGCTTAAAACCTATTCTGAATGTAACTGAAAGCCAGTGTAAAGAGCTGAGAACAGGTGTGATGTGCTCCGATTTTCTGGTTCTGGTCATAATTCCAAACCAGCATTGTGGATGAACTGCAAATGTCTGACTGTCTTTTTGGAAGGCCATAGAGTCCATTACAGTAATCCACCCTGCTGCTGATAAAAGCATGAACAAGTTTCACTGCAAACAAACCATCTAATTCTTGCAATATTTTTGAGATGATAGTATGCTGATTTACTTACTGCTTTTCACTGTATGAAATGTTGCTGTATTATATGAATGAACCAATCTCGTAAACTAATATAATGAATTAAAGTTTTATTTGGCCAAGCAAGTCATCACAATAATTTATGTTTCTTTACTCATAGTCCAATACTAGCTCTTGGTAATCTACACAGTATATCCATTCATCGCTTGCCTAAAATCTTAATAATAAATTAAATTAAATTAAATTAAATTAAATTAAATTAAATTAAATTAAATTAAATTAAATTAAATTAAATTAAATTAAATTAAATTAAATTAAATTAAATTAAATTCATTTTTCTGTCATCAGGAATTGGAGAAGACAGCTTCACCTGAGGCATCTTTGTTCCTTAAACCTCGCTCCAGTAAAAGTTTCCATGAACGCAGATCTCGCCGTAACAACGATCCTCGGGCACTCACTCAGCCAATCACATTTGAAGAAACCATGATGGCAGCAAGGTGGGTGGGACTTCTTTTATTCAATGCACTAGAAATTTCTTGCATATTAATCTCTATCAATATTTACAACATCTGTAAATCAATATTGATGTTATCTTCTTGCAGTCCTCAGCCAGGTGAAGCAGGTGAGGCAGAGCCTGAGGTGGAGGATGATGCTGGCACTAAACTCTCTATGAGTGAGAAACTGGCTCTCTTCAATAAACTCTCTCAGCCCATATTGGGTGCTGTTGGGAGTCCTGTGAGAGATGGCAGCCCTCATGAGGCCACTGAGAGACGCAGACAGAAGGGCACTCGCTATCGCACACAGCCCATCACAGTGGATGAAGTCAATCTGGTAAGTGCATTTGCGCGTTATGAACTTTTCTGTACTGTACTGCTAAATCTGTGTAGTCAGTGTGTATTATAAGTGCTTTAAACCAAGTTATGAAAAGACCACATTTTTATGCTGTTTTTTGTTTTCTGCTGGTCGGTTTATTAAAAGAAAGAAACAAAAAATAAATAAACAAAAGTAATACAAATACATTTTCTAAATTAAATAATTACCCCTTTTTTTCCTGTTTTACAATTAAATCTAGCAATTTTTATGTTTAAAAAATATATTTAAACAAAGCGTTACAAGTTTTAAATTCAAGATGTATATTTTGAAAATATTTCTAATTTTTAATTCACATTTATGCTGATTGATGTCTGTTTAGCCACCACAGCATACATCAATCAATCAATCAATCAATCAATCAATCAATCAATCAATCAATCAATCAATCAATCAATCAATCAATCAATCAATCAATCAATCAATCAATCAATCATTCCATCAATCCATCCATCAATCAATCAATCAATCAATCAATCAATCCATCCATCCATCCATCCATCCATCCATCCATCCATCCATCCATCCATCCATCCATCCATCCATCCATCCATCCATCCATCCATCCATCCATCAATCCATCAATCAATCAATCAATCAATCAGTTTTATTTTGTTTAGTTTTTAATATAACAAGTATTGTATTTTCAAAGGCAGTATTTCAGCATCAAATTATTTATTATATTTTTCAGAAAGTTTACTTAATATTTTTAAAGGGCATTTAGATGTATTTAGCTGTAGAATAATGCAGAGAGACTGGATCTTGATATAATTTGCTTTGCAGTAATGTTGATAAAAGGATTGCTGGTTCCTTCATGAAAAAAATATAGTCCTGACATTTATAGTCAATACTATAGTTTTTTTTAACCATGCTATGAAAGTATTTGAATTTATCTGTTGTGGTAACTTTATAGTGCATGTGGTAATACAACAACTACAGTAATATAAACAAATTACCCAATACTTTACTACTTTTTCTATAACCACAGGTATACGAATTATACATTAATACACATTTAAAACTACATATTCCCATAGTTTTGCATAATTGCACTTTATAACTTATACCTGTATCCTGCACTTGCTGCTATATCACCTGCTTAGACCTAAACTGCATTTTGTTGCCTTGTACTTGTACATTTGTAATGACAATAAAGTGTAACAGAACAGTATAACTCCTCTGACTTCAAAAGGTGCTCTAGCGACAGTTGGTAGAGGCCATGGTCTTTAGTCTTCTTGTTAGAGCAACCGACTTTCAAACGAAAGGTCGCTGGTTGGATCCTAGCATGGAGTGGGTAGGGTGGTGTAAGGCTAGTCGGGTTACATTGGTGCCGTGACCTGGATGGCAGTGAGTTTTAGGGGGTGAGTGTAATGAAGGCCAGCTAGTGAAGTGCTATGCAGGTAAACCTCACTCCTCTGACCTCTAAAGGTGCTCTAGCAACAGACGCTAAAGGCCATGACCTGTAGCCTCCTTGTTAGAGCAATCGACTCCAATGCAAAGAATCACTGGTTCAGTCCAAACTCAGAGCGGGTTGGGTGCAGTAGAACTGGTGGGTTAAAAAAATTTAATCTAATCTAAATCACAGTTAACTATAGTGAAAACTGTTGTATACTTCTAGATTTCTACAGTTTTCAATTCACATAGATAATTCCTTTAGTATACTGCATAATTTGTTAACAAAATGATGTAAAATAATACTATTATACACTTCACTTTAGTATGATAAAAATATATAGTATATTTACTGTAAATTTACTTCAACAAACTCTCTCAGCCCATATGGGGTGCTGTTGGGAATCCCGTGAGAGACTGCAACCCTCATGAGGCCTTTGTGAGATGCACACGATATAATACACTTTACTATAATATGGTTCGAAAACACTGTATTATATTTAGTGGACGTTTACAATGTTTTGTAAATTAGTAGAGTATTTTTCTATGTGGGTTAGTCCAGCAGCCTGCTGGTGACATTTCAAAAGGTTTGATTTGTCAGGTTTAGTTATTTTGTCACTTAAATTGCTCTGGTTCTTTCTCAAATGCTGATAGGCCTTTCTCCCTCTCTCAGCTTCAAAAAGGGCCTGTGCAGCTCCCTCGTTTTCATCTGGCTCCTCACCTCTCTGACCGCCAGCAGGCCGAGTCCACCAACCTGAAACCCAGTGAAGTGCGTCTCTCCGGGCTGAGCTCTTCCTCCTCTGAACTCTCATCTCCCCATCTTAAGAATACAACGAACACCAATTCCCAGAATGCAGTGCATCCCATTAAAGGCATCCTGAAAAAGAGCTCCTCTGAGGGAGTGGTCTGGAGGAGTGACAGAGAGAGGAAAGACCTGAATGGACACAACCTGGAGCAGAATGGCAAAGAGAGGGGAGAGACAGAAGTGAAGGAGGAGAGGAGTTTGTCATCGGTGGATCATTCTCCGGGTCATCTCTCCGGCGCTCCCTGGAGGCAGAGGACGAGGAAGGAAACATCCTTCGGCAGAACACGGAGATCTGCTCCAAACCCTGAGGAACATTTGTATCTTTCAGAGGTTCTGCAGATCACAGAACAGAGTGGAGATTCGGCCATCGCTGACAGGTTCTCTTACTTTTTGAGTCTCTTGTCATATATATGGTCCTGTTTAGAAGTTTAGGTGCAGTAAAAGAACTTGAAGTTACTTAGACTTTTAATTCAGTATGTTAATGTACTTGCAACTGAAACAATATGTTCAGTAGAGGACGGGACTTTCATTGCCTCTTAGCAAACTGATGGTAAAAGGGGTGTGGATAAGAATATTGTAGCTAAAGTTGTCAATCAAAGATTTTGATTGATTTAACTCCTTCATTTATTCATTTTTCTTCAGCTTAGTCCATTATTTATAAGGGGTCGCCACAGCGGATTGAACCACCAACTTATTCAGCATATGTTTTACACAGCGACTCCCCTTTCATCTGCAACCCAGTACTGGGTAACATCAATACACACTCATACACTATGGTCAATTAATTAGAAACTGGAGCACCCGGAGAAAACCCACGCGAACACAGGGAGAACATGCAAACTCCTAAAGACTAAGCTAGAAAAATAAACATTGTACATTTTTATTTCACATGGATTTTAAAGGTAAATTATTTTTTCAGACAGAAACTAAAGCACAGATATGTGGTACATTGTGAAATTATCAACTGACATATATGTCCTACCTAAAAGACAAAATGTAAAGTTGGTAACACACTGCACAGAAGCATTGCATCAAATCAAGGACTATAGAATACACAAGACATGTCACTCGTATAGTTTTGAATGGGGAAAAGTGTAATGATCAATATGGCGAACGAAGCACTGCTTACTAGTACAGGAACCAATCAGCGATCAGTATAGACTTACGTTTCTCCGGGGAAGAAGCTCGGATCAGACGTGCGCTTTCACGACAACAAATGGTCAACAAACACACTCAGTCCATCCTGTCAAACTCACATTACATGACAGTAGAAACCACTTAAACGCCCACAAACCTGTAAACAAAGAGTCACTGTCATTTCTAGAGGAGACAGCCATCAAGACCAAGTTGTGAATTACTTCAGAAGAGCAGCGCAATCAGACAAAGCATTATCCAGAGGATGATAATGTGTAGAACGACCATAAATGAGGTTGGTGTCGTGATCTCATTCTTTTTGAGTGCACATGCGCATTAGCTTGGGCAACTTAAAAAAATGACAATTTTGTTTGAATTGAACATTAATAAAACAGTTGATACAGTTGTTGTTTAATTATTTGGTGATTCCAAATATGAAAGATAATCGTAAGCTTGGCCAACAGTTTTGAAAAATTAGCTGTTTCCCCATTTAGACAGAATGCATACTGCCTGAGAAACATTTCAAAGATGGCCGCCAAGTGAAATAACTTGCAAAGGGACTTTGACCAAATCACCTTTAACAATTATGTGCTCAATCGAAGCACCTACTCAAGGGCGCCTGCGATTTTAGACGCAGACAAAGGTTTATCCCATAGTACTGTCAGTACATAAAATGTGGTAAAGATATGGTCTCACACGATGTATTACTTTTAAAGAACTAAGGATTAGCTTCATTTTGGAATAATGTGAAGAAAGTAGACACAAAACTCATCAAAATCCTTTTCACAGACTGACAAACTCAAGAACAAAGGAAGAAGAAGAGAAGCAAGGTGCTACAGCAAAGTGCAATATCAGTAGAAGCAGTGAGCCACAGGTTTGTGTAAGTGTTTGTTTGTGTATTTTAGAAATTTTGTTTTCAGGGTGCCATGGCATATTTGAGCCTACTTTACAATATTTAATCTGATACTCAGTGATCTATTTGTGTTTTTGGTCATACTGCAATAGCATGCAGCATGTGAGTCACTCTAATGTTTCCTCAATGTTTTTTCACTTCACTGGTTTTCACACTGCCACCTGCAGGATGAATCTGTCAGTGCAGTTGAGTCTATACCACAAACTCAGTGCTGGGTAAGAATTTGTGATCATGCAAATTGGTTGAGAATGTTTATAAGCTAAACAACCATACAGTACTGTGTATCATTGCTTATTAACATATATGTGTTCAAAAGTGAGTTTCGTTGTGTTCGTTCTGTGTAACTTTTGTGTTGAGAATGATATTTCATGATTCAGTTCCCCTCTCCTTTCGTCTCAGGAGCCTGTGTTTTCATCTGTATACTCACGCTCAAACTCCACACCTCAGTATGTGATGTGTTTCAATGAGGTGAGCATTTCATTCATGTTTGGTGTCCACTGTGAATGTGATGCATCTCTCCATTAAGTACTGTTTCTCTCAGCATGTGCTTTTAGGTCATGTGCTATTTCATTTTCTGTTTTCTCATGTAGAATGCAGAATCACACGTTCATTCCTCATCCTTTTAAAATACATTTTTTATACTTATATTGCATGCAAGTCAATATTCTCATTATATTTTTCCTAAGCACAACCGTTATAATAAATATGATTAATTTTGCATATAAACATTAACAAGTGGTGCATAATTTTTAAAGGAAAGCTTGAATTGAAAAATGCAATATGGCAAGAGATGAACATATCAATGAAGAAAAAAAATGATTCTGAAAGATACAATGGTTTAATCAGTGGTTCAAGTGAAATTGGTACTGGTTCCTGCATCTTCTGCTCCGACATGATAAACTTCAGTCCTCATCTCAGAAATTCAGTCTTCACTTATTTTATGACCCTTAAGCTTGTCATTCTTATTGGGTTGTGCTCACGTTTCAGGATTCTTTACAATTGCAAAATCTCTAAATTGCAAAATCTGGCATCTTATACTTCTGGAGACTACCAATAGGCTTTAGTTCTGGAAAAAAAAAAAGATTTTTTTTATATAGCATTGTGGATGCTATTTTGCTACTATCCACAAAGATGCTACTTTGTGGTTGTTAAATAATGTAATATATTTTGATGTAATGTGGGGCCATTATATGTGTCAGAGGAAACCTACTTAACTTACATCTGAATGTCAGGCAATTTTTCACTTGATGAAATGTCAAATTGTCATTAATTGTAAATAGTAAGATAAATCTGATTTGGAAGTAGTAAAATGTAAATGGGGCAAAATATAATAATAAAACCGACTTGCATACTAATTATTCATGTGTTGTACACTTTAAATGTATGTGTTGTTCATACTTTGCAGTTAAAAGTACATATAATTAATTTGGCTTGATTTGACTAGCACTTGACTCTTAATGCTCTTCTCTTCCACTTTCTTTCGCCATCTCTAGAGAAGTCTTTCTTATGAAGCTCAGGAGGTTTCAAAAACAACTCAAGCCCAACCACATGTGACCGGGAGAGTCAAGGAGGTATTTTAAAGATTTAGTAAAGTATATAGTATGTAGATAGTTACGTACTTAGTAAGTATACAGTTAAGGGTATTATTTAATAAACTGTATAATACACTTACAAATCAGCTGCACAATGTTTCACATTGATAATAATGTTTCTTGAGCATCAAACTTAAAAAATAAGCGTACATTGTTTGGAAAGTGAGATTTATACACATGAAAGTTGAATAAATAAGCTTTCCATTGATGTATGTTGTGAGGAAATGGGAATATTTAGCAACTCTATTTTGAAAATCTTGAATCTGAGGGTTCAAACTAAACTAAATGTTATGAAAATTAAATTTAAAGTTGTCAGAATGAAGTGCTTAGCAATGCACATTACAAATCCAAATAGACTTTTGATATATTTACAATAGAACATTTACAAAATATCCTAACGGAACAAGATCTTTTCTTAATATTCTTATGATTTTTGGCATTAAAGAAAAATTGACCCATACAATGTATGTTTGACTATTACAAAAATATACCTGTGCAACATAAGGTCATTCATTTTTTAGGTCAATCATGTAAATAAGGCTAAATTAATGACTGATCTTTCTTCACATGAATAAAAACACAATCATTTTAAACCAAGTACTAATCCACGTTTTACAGTATTATTTATTAAGAAAGTGCAGCCTTTGTGAGCAGCAGAGCCTTTAAAACCCTGCTCTAAACTTTTGAACACATAATAAACTTTTTTAAACACTGTCCTGGTATTAAAATATATCAGAAATATACTACAGTATGAAATAATTTAGTTCTTTCCATTATTTCAGGCAAGCTGTGAGGAAGAAGAGTCTCCCAAACTCATTTTCACAGAAACACAAACCGTTTGCACCACGGAAGTGCAGGAGAGTCAGATGTTTGGCACTGAGATGGATAAAGAGGTGATGCCAGCTGAACCCTGCTCAGTGCCAGCATGTCCCACCACCGGAGGAGACACAGAGTCAGACCTGAGTGCTCTCTGCCAGACCAACACACCAATGTAAACCAGCATCTGTCTGTCTGTTGTTACATGCGCGTGTGTGAGAGATTTCTTAATATTTGGGACTTGATGCTGGTTTTATTTTCTCTTTCTCTGTGTGGGTGTCAGTTTGAGCTCAGCTGTAGCTGAACACAGGCGATCAGTTCGGCCGTCACGCAGGACTCAGGGTTCCCGGAATCCATTACGTGCTCTTGCTGCTCGAGAAGACATCCAGCAGGATTTCATGCAGCCTGAGGAAAACAGCGAAATGGAGAATAATACAGGTTTAAAATGACGATTACAATTTTATCTCCCTGCTCATCAGTCATCAATCATTTTTAAAGATTCAGTCATTGAATGTGTCAACAGTGTTAAACATATTAACACCCTTTTAATCTCAGGTTCTTTTATTTGATCTCTTTCTTTTCCCTTAAGCTATGAAAAATTCAAACTGCACCCCAGCTGATGTCACTTCCTCTGGAAAACTGAGCAAACCCACTGTGCCATACCACAAACTCATGCTCATCCAGGTTAAAGGTAGGATATAATCAAGTGCGTATTATATAAAATATATTACATGGAATAAAATATAGATCAAATATATAATATAAATCTGATGTTAATTCGATGCTAACATTCCTGTATACATTTACACTTCTTGGGCTGCATGGTAGCTCAGTGGTTAGCACTGTCACCTCAAAGAAGGGTCGCTGGTTGGAATCCCGGCTGGGCCAGTTGGCATTTCTGTGTGGAGTTTGCATGTTCTCCCTGTGTTCCTATGGGTTTCCTCCGGGTGCTCCGGTTTCCCCCACAGTCCAAAAACATGCACTATAGGTGAATTGAATAAACTAAATTGGCCGTAGTGTATAAGTGTGTGTGTGAATGAATGTGTATTGGAGTTTCCCAGTACTGGATTGCGACTGGAAGGGCATGCGCTGTAAAACATATGTTGGAGTAGTTGGCGGTTCTTTCCGCTGTGACGACCTCTGCAAAAGAACCTGAGCTGAAGGAAAATGAATGAATAAATGAATGATTTAGTGTTTTGAAAGTTTGCTGTCTGTTAGATAATAAATCTCTTTAAAAGGAATTTCTTAGGAAGACAACAAGATTGCAGTTATTTAAAAATTATTATTACTATAGAAAAAAACAATATATATGGCAGCTCAGTGACTAAGTGATTAGCATGGCTTTCTCGCAGTAAGATAGTTGCTGGTTCAAATCCTCACTGGACCAGAAGGCCAGAAATGTGGTGAAGAAATTAGAAATGTGGTGAAGAAAATCTCTCTGTTAAACAGAAATTGGGGAAAAAACAAACAAACTAATAATTGACTTTAACTGTAAGTGCATAAATAAAAGTGGAAACTTATTTACCAAATAAACTTTATGATGCGCTTCTAAACTATATATGTGATTTTGTCTGAATACTTGTAGAAATCCAATTTTTAAAAATTGATTATATGTGTTGACGACGCAGTGGCACAGTGGGTAGTGCTGTCGCCTCACAGCAAGAAGGTCGCTGGGTTGCTGGTTCGAACCTCGACTTAGTTGGTGTTTCTGTGTGGAGTTTGCATGTTCTCCCTGCGTTTCCTCCGGGTACTCCGGTTTCCCCCACAGTCTAAAGACATGTGGTACAGGTGAATTGGGTAGGCTAAATTGTCCATAGGGTGTGAGTGTGTGTGTGTGTGTGTGTGTGTGTGTGTGTGGATGTTTCCCAGAGATGGGTTGTGACTGGAAGGGCATCCGCTGGGTAAAAACATGCTGGATAAGTGGGCGGTTCATTCTACTGTGGTGACCCTGGATTAATAAATGGACTAAGCCAACAAGAAAATTAATGAATGAATTATATGTGTTTCTTAGGAAGTAATGATTTTAATTTCATGAACACATGGGATAACAAATGTTTTATTTTTGTTAAATTTGCAACTTCGGATGGAAACAGCTAGTGTCTTTATGTCAACAACATTCAGGATGGAGACAGGTGCAGGTGCGGATGGTGGAGCCGGTGTCTCACTCTCTTAACAGCGGTGACTGCTTTCTGCTGGTCACACAATCACACTGCTTCCTCTGGACCGGCAAACTCTCCAACACCATTGAGAGAGAAAAGGTACCTTCAGAGTAATCCCTGTTTAAACCAGTACCAACGATAATTTACATGCATACTTACTGGTATAGTTTTAGGGTATAAACCAAAATATGAAATAATTTGAATGTATTTTATTAAATGTAACAAATGTAATGATAAATAAATTAATTATACACACAGCTTGTTGTATCCAAAGCTAGGTATATAATTACATTTTATTTTGTTAATGATTATTAATGGTTTGTTCCAGGCATCTGAAATGGCCTCACTGATTGTGACCCAAAGGGATTTGGGTTGCCAGGCGACCGGTGTTGTTCACCTGGATGAAGGCGTAAACACAGACAGCCAGCAGGCAGCTGAGTTCTGGAAGCTTCTCGGGGGACAGACCCCGTATAAAGGCAAGTGACATTTGAATCAGAAGAACCATCTGATCATGAGCATTTTGATTTCCCAATAGTACTCAAATGGTATATATATATATATGCTTTATGCTTCTGCAGGTTCAGACAGTGTTGAAGATGATGAGCTCTATGAGAAAGCCATATCAGAGTCAAACTGTATTTACAGGCTGCAGGGGGACAGACTGAGTCCTCATGAGCAGGCCTGGGCCTCCGTCCCGCACCACAGTCTACTCAACCCTACTCAGGTCCTGATCCCAAGTCTTGATGTGTACATTATACGTTCTCAAGTTCAGATTACTCAAAACATTTATAACACATCACTACTTGTTTATTACAACTTCATTGAAATATTGAATTAAACAATTTGTTCACTTTGCATAAACTTCAACTTCAGTCTTCATAATTAAGTGTTAGTTTGCAATAGCATGTGCTAATGCAACCATCAAATAGATTATATTTATATACTGCATAGATGGACTTATGGATCATACACATATACAATTAACATGAAATTAAAATTGACAATGTTTATTAACATTGTAACACTTAATTTGCAAATATTAATAAAAAAAAAACGTTTGTTTTGGTAATCTTTAATTAAAATCTGACCATTTGCTTCAGTTCTTGAACACCAGTCCTACTCTGATGATGTCAGTTTGACTTAAATATTTTTAGCCATGCCCCTCCAACCATTAGTTTGCTGTGAGTGAATTTCAGTTGAAAGTACATCATCATACTGAAAGAAAAATCCACTTCAACTTCTAAGTTTCATAGACATTGATGTTTTTTCAGCTCATCTTTAACCAAATCAATGGCTCTGTTCTTCACTACAATGGTAAACCTACAAATATTATCATAACAGAAACCTTTGTAAATCCTAAGACACCACAACTTTACAGATGAATTTATATCTCCATATGTTAATATTGTGCAAAAACACAGATGGTAACACTTAGGGCATGTGTCAACCAAAGCGTTTTTCTGGAGTTGAGCATTTTTTTGTTGTTGTTGTCAGTAGAAGTGCAGTGTTTTTTTAATGCCAGCTATGTAGCGAGGCTCTGATTGTGCGCTTTATGCTCAGCTCTGAGTGCTCTGACAGTTTAAGAAGCGCTTGCAGTTGATCGTTTATAGAATGGCACTGACATTTTAAGTGAACACACACTTAATTTCAAATTTGCTTCTACGCAGTTGAATTTCTTGTTTATAATATAAAATTTTTAATTTGTATATATTTTTTATTAAATGCAATGAACTCTCATCAATAATTGAGTGAAATGAGTTAATTTCATCACATTAAATTTAATGTTTGGTACACTTTACCTGGAATTGTTTTGTGATTCAACATGGCAGAAATGCATTTGTGCTTAGTGAAATGGACTTACAGTGTATTTGTCTGTTTCAGACTCTGCTGTTTGACTTCGGCAGTGAGCTCTATTTGTGGCATGGGAAAGACGTCGGCCCAAGCGAAAGAAAGCTGGCCCTTCAGCTGGCTCAGCAGGTTTGGGACGGAGCGTATGATTATAGCAACTGCAGGATCAATCCTCTGGATCCCTCTGGTGGCAGTGCCCACATTCACAAGTAGGTTTAGCATAGGGGAGCATTTTCAGAAATTCTGAATAAAAGTCCACAGTTGAAAATGCTTCTTTTTTTCCGATTTTTGGTAATGAGTATATATATTTTGTTTTATTACAAACTATATTATCAGTATAACATTTTGTATCATAAATTCTCCTTGCTTTAACGAGGCCATAATATGGTACGGTTTTAACCCTGTTGGTTGTCAAACTTAATACATTTTGACAGCTGTATATGTTGATATAGTGGCTCAGTGGTAAGCACTGTCACCTTACAGCAAGAAGGTCGCTGGTTTGTGTCCCGGCTGAGCCAGTTGGCATTTCTTTGTGAAACTTCAACATTTAAACCTGGTGCCATTTTAGCAGGAAGTCAGCACAAAGTCTTTGATAGTAGACCTTCAGTTTGACCAAAGGGCTTTAAAATTATAACTGCTTATATATTTTTACTATGTTGGCACAATTGTTTCAGGTTTGACATTTGGAGGAAACAGTCACTTCTTTCTTGTTTTTTGCTTTTGAACAGCGCAGTATAAATTAGTAATAATTATGTAATTATAATTATGTGGGTATATTTGTTTAATGGATATAAATTTTGTATTTATATGCTAAGAGATTTCAGTGTGTGAATGTTAGTTTTTTATTATGAAAAAGTTAATGCATCACAACTTTTGGACTTTTCGAACAAGGCAATGGTGGACATAGTGTAAATAACTATTCCATTGGCCTATTGTTTTGTTCACAAACAAATATTCTCTGTGTTTAGACAGGGTATTGGACGGCCAGACTGGGCACTTTTTGGCCGTGTGTTCGACCAAAATGAGACGATACTCTTCAAAGAGAAGTTTGCAAACTCATTTGAGCAGACAAGCATGAACAAAAACCACATCGTTCCTTCAATACAAGAGGAGGTGAAGGTGAGGAGACTGACAGACTGTACACTTCAAGAGTTCACACTTAGCTGATGATTGATGATAAAGCGTATTTGGCAATCATAAAGCATGTGATCCTCTCGAAATTAGTTTATAAATAAACTTCACAAGTTTAGATAACAAACATATTTTCATGTTCTTCTTTTGTTTAAATGACTTCCATAATCAGTTATTTTAAACAGCAGTTTTTCCACATTTTTAAAGTTTTGTTTTTGTTTACTCTCTTTCTATCGTTGTAATGTCTATCATCTTCTCTTCAGACCGCTTCCAGTCTCCATCAAGCATCAGCGGAGCAGTGGTCCTGTGATGTTAGAGCTCTTTTTGGAGGGGTGTGTCTCTCAGGAGTGTCTCAGGTCATTCTGGATGGTGTGGATGTGCGAAGGGGACGGGACTTGGTCACTTTCAGTGATGGTCGGCAGGCAGATCTAAGCACTGTTTCTGTGAAAGTGTGGCTGATTTCAGAGGGTGGGGATTGTGAAGTTGCTCCAGAGAGCCTGGGACAGTTGAACGAGGGCAACACATACGCTATACGCTGGACGTACAGCCTTACAGCCTCAGGTGAGAGATCATGTGTGGGTCAGAAAGGCATACTGAATGGTTTTATATGTTTAAACTACTCTTTATAATATTCAGAAAAAATATATATAAAAAGAGAGGGAGAGAGAGAGAGAGAGAGAGAGAGAGAGAGAGAGAGAGAGAGAGAGAGAGAGAGAGAGAGAGTAATTATATTGTTTAGTACATTGTGAAAAGGCTGGGTTCCACACAATTCGTCCATGTTGTCCCAACATAAATAGATTGAGTTAGCTTAAATGTTTTTACAAGTTTAAGTGCATTCAACATAAAACAGGTAAGTTGTCACAAAAAAGGGGGCTTTTGAGTGTAGTAAACTCACTTAGAAACAGCTTTTGGAAACTTTTTGTTTACACTTTGTGATAATATTTCATTAGTTATTGTTAGTAACAATATTTATTAACAAACAAACAGGGAACATAACATTTATTACAGTACTTGTCATTCTTAATGTCAGTTAATGAAAATAAAGTAGTTCATTATTAGTTCTTATAAACTCACAGTGCATTAACTAATGTTAATGACCATAACTTTGTATTTTAATAATACATTAAATGTTGCCTCATGATTAATAAATGATTAATAAACTGTGTCGTTGTTTGTATGCTTTATTGTCCCCTAAGAGGGATTTTTTTGTGTGTATTGCAAAATGTGATACAGTAAAGAATTTAAATTAAAATATAAATATGTTAATTTTTCATTTGTACATTCATGGTTGATTCTTAATTAAATGTATTGACTAATGTTAACTAATTGAACATTATAGTAAAGTGATACTGAATATTTAAACTACTCTCAAGATTTATAAATTCTTAACATAAAAAAATACAATAAGTAACAAAAAATTAATGATACTAAAAAATTGTTTGTTTATTAAACAAAATAAGTCAATTTTTGTGTGTTTCTTTTATACAGTTATAAATAAATGTGTGCTCTATTTGTGTCATTATCATCATTATATTGTAGGGGATGAGAGTGCGCTGGCTCAGGAAAGATCTGCTGTTTTCATCTGGAAGGGGCGGCACTCTAATATAAGTGGGCGGGACCTGTCACCAGCACTGACCAATGAGTGTAGCGCTCAGGTGTTTATAACAGAAGGGGAGGAGCCAGCCTGTTTCCTGCAGCTGTTCCAGGGAGGAATGGTCATTTATAGACAACAACCAAGCATAGACACAGGTCAGCTCATCTTTTTCTCTCCCACTATTCACCTTATTCTATCCTATGCCCCAAAATGCTTTGGGTGAATTGTCGGAGTAACTTCCATGAAACTGTAGACAATCATTTTTTTACATAATGAATACAATGGGGTGGCATTCTTCTCCTCACAGTTCATCCATCAAATATTAAAGGGAGCTTTTTTGAATTTAGAAATTTCAGCAGACCATGAATAATCCTGAAAAATGTTAATGCGTCTTTCTGCAGAAATATTACAGGCATACATTGAATATTACTGTACTGTTGTGAACTCAAAAGAACATTGCCACACATCTGCTGGTCATACTAATGCCCCTTTAAAATAATATAAGAATAAAATTTTACACACGAAGCATTCGCTGCAAAAAATATTTTCTCATTTAAGTTTAGTCTTACAACTTAGTCTTATTACTAACTTAGTTTTTGTCTTGTTTTATTGTGCAAATATCTAAACATTCTGAAATTAAAGGTTCGAGACACCCTGGAGTGCTTTTTTAAATTTCAACAGATTTGTGTGTGATGTGCATCAGTTAAGACAACGTTAGCACCTGTCAGCTTTAATTGTAGGGAAAACTGGATCATTTTGAGCTTTTTTCAGATTTCATTTTTCGGGTTTAAAATAATTTTTGGGGTGGGATCAAAATCTGTGACGTAGCGCGAATCTGCTAGTGGAGTGATAACACGTTGGTTTCTTATTATTGTTCATAGAAGAGTATTCTTATCCTATAAATTCTTATCTTTCTTAATTATACATGAGAGCACTTGCTTTCCGAAGGCAAGGCAGACATGCCAAGCTGTGAGACCCAATGGCTGGGTGAGACCGTGTCTGTGCATGCCACGGGTCGTATGTGTTTGTTTCCATGATCCACAGGGTTTGTTGCATGTTTTTTCAATTTGCAAAGCAATTGTTATTTGCTACGTTCAGGTCATTTTAAGCCATTGTGCCATGTTGTTTAAATAGCAAATGCATTTGCGTTCATATGTGCGCCCATAGGCGTTCTGGTCTAAAAAAGCACGAGTTTTTTCTCGCGTTGCTATTTTGAGAAAAGTCTGTTCTTTAGACCAGAACAAAGTTGGGAAATTGTCTGGAGTGCGCCTGGCTTACACACTACACACAAGATGTAGAGCAATACACAAATATCTTTACATATGAAAAATATATAATATATTAAGGATATATATAATAAGGATATATATAGGATATAAATATAAATGATTAAAATATTACAAAACATATTAATTTCTAGCCTACATGAATTTAAAAACCACTGCCTTCATACTTTCTTCATCTCGGGAGGCTTTTTCAGTTCATTCAATTTGCTTTTGTACAATGTTATTATTATTAGCAGTATTATTTATTATATCCATATTTATATTTGTTTTATTAAAAACAAGCTTAGATTTGTCCACCTGTCAGGTTTTAGACCATATTGGGCACAGCATATGTATTTGGATATAACTTTACACACTTTTTTTTTAACACACTTCGTTATTATTGTTCATTTATTCGTTTGCTGGAAATTAGAACTGAATTTAGAAATAGTTTTGAAACAAATCTTTGCGCTTAACAAATGAAATTAATTATTTATAGGCCAATTGATGTCTGTGCGTAAAGGTTTCCCTATCCCTGAGAGCGAAAGAGAAAGTAGATCTTTTATCTCCCATTCTCGACGGTAAATGCTCTGTTTAACTGTTTTCTTACTAATGAAATGCTTAGTTTTTACACGTACACTTACTTAACGTCAGGTAAATAGCAAAAGCGATCATGACGCGACACAGCTGGCTCTTAAAGGGAATGGAAGATGAGACTCTGATTGGTTTATTCTCAAAACGCACCTATAACTCATTAAGAAAATAAACTTAGCCCTTTTAGACCATGCGCCACGTCCTTAAAACAGCAAAAATCCATTCTGACACGCCCTGAAAGCGTTTGCTCCCTGCATTTTGCGCTCTGCGCATGGATTGTCAAAATAGAGCCCTTTGTCTTTTATCAGTTGAGTTTGTTATCATTCAGACAAATCGCCTATATCCCTGCTGCTGTGTTCGCCATATGTTTAAAATCCTCCAGATTACCAGACAGGGAAAGGGACCTGCTGCACTGCTGTCCACTTTGTCTGCATTCAGCCTCGGGGATTGAGGAGTAGAGAAGTCCTCCTCATTTATAGTGTTTATACAAACATGATTATTTTTATGAAAATATAAAAATTTTGGTTATGTGTTTATGAAATTATAAATAACATATGTAGCAGGACATTAAATTACTGTGCATTTTAATTTCTTTGCATTTTAACTTTGTAAACTATAAAATCATGGGTCTCCTCACGATTTGTGTCTGATTTTGTGAGCCAACTGACAACAGTTGTTCGCTCCCCTCTTTTTCCCCTACTCTGCTGGCCACAACTACTACTTCCTCTGCACGGAGTGCTCCACGCACATCATAAAGCATTTTTTTTTTATTCTGAATTAGACTTAAACAGAAAGAGGGGGGTTTTATGGCCCTTTAAAGAAGCATTTTGTAGACCGGTAAAAAAATGAAAATTTAAGTGATTTTTTTTAAACAAGCTTAATTATTTGCCAGTGGTATAAGTAAAATAATCTTTTTTAAAGCCTTTTATGCCCCTTGTTACAAGATGTAAAATAAGAATCAGATATCGCTAGAGTGTCTATGTGAATTTTCAGCTCAAAATAGCACAAAAATAATGTTTTATAGCACTTTGAATTGCTTTTATAGGCTTTGATCCTAATTGCGTTATTTTGGTCACTATTGCTTTAAATTCAAATGAGATTGTGCTTCCAGCCCTCTTTTCAAAAGAGGGTGGAGTTGCAAATGCCTGTGTGTCAGCATAGTGGCAGGTTTAAAAACAATACTAATGTTCTATGCTAATGGGGGAGAAAACATCATTAATAGGTGGGGCTTTCCCTTCTGATGACATGTACAAAGGGAGAATGTCAATCAAAGTGTTTCGCCAGACTGTTTTTATCAAGTGTGATTATAAAAAATAAAATTCAGATATTTTTACCATTAGAAACTGGTTATATTCACACACTGTTGCCACAAATCTGTGTTTAAACCCTTTATAAAAGTGATTTTTGCATAAAAGTTTCTTTTTAAATAGTCTATTTTACTTACCTCACTGGCGGATTATTTAGCTTGTTTTAAGGAAAAGCCTTTATGTTCAAATGTTTGGACTGGAACCAGATGAAAACCATAAGTAAGAAAAGCATTTTTGCTGTAAAAAACAAAACAAAATTAACCTCTAAATTCATTTCACCATGTATATGGATTATTTGTTGCACAACCTTGTTATTTGAATTGATTAGTTTCACTTCTGTTAAATGGAAGTTCCTCAACCCAGAATTGCAATCCATAACTTGAAATACAAAAGTTACTTGCAGAAAAAAGACAGACAGCTCCACTTATTGCATGTGACAGTGTGTTTGGTGTGTTTCAGAAGCCTGGCGTCTGTTCTGTGTGAGGGGTGATGTGCCGATAGAGGGCAGCCTGTTGGAGGTTCAGTGCTCCTGCTCCAGTCTGAGATCTCGTGGCTCATTGGTTCTGTTGAACAGCCAACAGGGCACCATCTACCTGTGGCATGGGTGTAAAGCCCATAGTAAAGCCCGTCAGGTGGCCAAGCACACCGTCCAGCGCCTCACACAAACGTGAGCTGCACCTCTGTCAAAAGAGTCATGTAAACAAACCCATGAAACACATTAATTGGTGCAAGTTGCCAGATTGGGACTGATATCATGTGATTGATGTGTGATGATCAGGTGCCCATCTGAGCTGAGTCTGAAAACTGGCAGCTTTATGAACATCCAAGAAGTGGAGGAGGGGAAGGAGCCTTCCGAATACTGGAACGCTATTGGACAACAGGACAGGAAGTCATATGACTGCATGCTACAAGGTATGGTGAATAATAAACTAATAGTGCATCTCAATCAGCCTACTAGTCAGTAGTAGTTAGGGTACCAAATAAAGAGCAGTCCATTTTAAAGGCTTTCTCAATCACAACATACTTTTAGTGCACTGAAATGTCCCACAGTGTAGTGTGAAGAGAAGGGAGCTTTAATGCTCACTATGTCCTCTTAACATAAGTTTTTAAGCATGTAATATATATATAATGTTTTATCATACAAATGTATCATACACGACATACAATAGATGTTTTTTAAAAAAACAAACAAACCATTGTTTATTTTTGTTTAAGCATAAACAACCTTGCGAACAATTCTAGTTAATGAATGAAATGCTGTGGGCATTTGAAACTTTTATCTTTAAATATGAATATTAAAATCAGTGATTTAATTGTTGATATAAAAATTTAATTGTTGCTATCCAGTTTTCTGAATGCTGATATCAACAATTTAAAATCTGATATCAACAATTAAACTGTGGATATTTTCTCTAGTAAAAATATAACTCTTGATATCTGTAATTTTATTATAACTAGTTAAATGTAATCTTAGGCTGCTGTTCGAATGTAACTCTTGAAATCAGGAAATTTATTACATACTAGTTCAATTTTTGATAACTATTTAAATACATTTCTGCTAGTATTAATTTAATTCTTGACACCAGTTATAAACATTTTTACTAGTCGCAATTCAGTGGTTGATATCATGAATATTGTTCTCACTAGTAGCCACTTGATTACTGATATAAAAATAAGATTTAGAATTATTTACAATTATATGTGAAATAGGAATTTAAAGTATTAAGAAATTAATTTTTGATGTTGACAATTAAAACTGAACAGCAGCCTATGGCAATATTTAACTAGTAAAATACAGTTGCGGATATCAAGAACTATATATTACTTACTTTCCCGATTGATATCAAGAATTAGCATTTGTTATGAAGAATTAGGATTGACGTCAAGAAAACATGAAGAATTCATATCCTGAGACTGAATAATAGTCAAAACGACTTTCAATAAAATATGTAATATGTACATGAAATAACATTTAAAAAATTGTATCTGTAAAATATAAGTTCTGTTGTTGTTTATAAACACCCACCAAATGTCCTACAGTGCAGATGTTGTCATGTCACCATCAGTGTCTCAATGTTAGTGAGCCTGATTCTTTACTGGTTGGACACACTGATTCCTGACCTCAAGAATTAGAGCACTGATTGAAGTGTGACTTGTTAAATCGTGTTGTCATTATTTTGTAGTGCAATGAACATTTGCATCATTTTTCACAAGAGGTCTTCTTTGTGTTCCTCAGATCCTGGTAAATTTAACTTTACGCCCCGCCTTTTTCACCTGAGTGCCCAATCAGGATCTTTTGAAGGACTGGAGCTCGTTAGCCCCTGCCGTGCAAATGGTGTCATCACAGCAATGCCCTTCCTTCAAGATAAGCTATACACTGTGCCACAACCAGGTAAGACCATCCACGCACAGAAACAAAGTACACATGAAGGCTTTCCATGCTGCACTTAATGGTAGAGTTCAACCAAAAATGATGCATAATTTTTTAATTATATAAAAATGTGCATGTTATTTGAAACCCATAGACTTAAACCCATTATTAAAACCATTAAACCTAATTTCTAGATTAATTTAGAAACATAATACTGAAATTTATAAATAAACAATACATTGAAGTCTTTTTAAGCAAAATGATCACGCTGTTCAAGAAAATGAACATTATTTACAATATTTGCCACAGGGATTTATTTGGTTTTCCCATAGGTTTTTGACTTTCAAAGTGCCAGTAATCGCTGACTTGCATTTACTGAATCAATTCACAGTTTTTAAATGTTCTGCTATATAAATAAAATGTCCACAACATTTTGGATTTCCTGATTGTGTTAAATGAATAAAAAAATTTATTCCTAGATGAACTGTCTCTTTAAATATGCAGTACGCTATATTTGAGTAACTAGTTATCAAAACTGCTTGAGGTCACTGGTTGTTTCACCAAACGTTACCAAGTGTGAAACACCCAATACAATGTTAAAACCTGAAGCTATTTAACACAAATGAAATGTGTTATAAATGTGTCCTTACACTATGCTGTAACACTTCTTCTCTGCAGCTTTGTTCCTGCTGGATAACTATCTGGAGGTGTATTTATGGCAAAGTTGTGAAACTTCGGCTCCACAGCGCCCTCTTTGGGACAAAGAGAAGAAGTGCGCGATGGAGACAGCCTTACAGTACTGCAAAGGTAGGTCTTAACTGGACAGAGCACAGATGCTGTTCAGAAAACGTCTAGTTCTGTTTCTGAGTTATTTTTGGTGTCTTGTTTTCAGAGAGAAATCCCAGGCGGCCTCCGATTGCATATCTTATTGATGAAGGGGCAGAGCCTCTCACCTTTACTAATATATTTCCCTCGTGGGAGATGACACAGGGAGAAGAGGTAATATCATCATCATCATAACTATATTTGCACAGTTTGAGTGCATAGATGATCAGCACTACTATCTGCTTGAAATATTTGTTTGTGCGTTCCTTTAGGACTGTACGGTGCGTAAAAAGCTGACTTTGGTCCAGGATGCTCTGGCTGCCCTCAATAAGACCCAGTTTCCCCTTCAGGATCTACTAAAGAGACCTTTACCTGAGGGAGTGGATCCTCAACACCTGGAGAACTACCTGTCTCAGCACGATTTTAAGGTATAGCACCATTATATTACAGCTGAATCACAGGATAACCTTTAAAAGTTTATAGTGAGTTTCACAAAGTCAAATCTTGAAAAATAATAATTTAGATATTTATCTATCTAATTCATAATTTCACTGACTTACACTCAACATTTGAGGTCAGAAAGATTTAAATGAGGTTTTGTTATTATATTCTCCAAGAAAGCATATATTTGATTCAAAAGACAGAGATGTAGATGTAATATCTGTACAGAAATTTAATATTTATATATGTGGTGGAGCGGTGGCGCAGTAGATAGGTTAAAAATGCCTTCTATTTGATTTATTTTAGAACGCTATACACTAGTACATTCGAAATCTGCACACAATTGAAATGCAATGCTTTATAACAGTCAGTTGATAATATTTTAGCTAAAACCATATTGTATCTGATCAACTGCACTTATATATATCATTACCAGTAGAGTGTAGAATTATTTCACAATAATAATTAACAATAATATTATACAGAAATAATTATTTGTATTATTTTAATAATAATAAATGATTATTTATCCTCTGATGGCATAGCTGAATTATTCTAATTTTTGTTAATTTCATATTTAAGATAATTTATTTATTAATTGTTAATATTTATGTTAAAAACTTAATATATATTTATATAAATCAATTTTTTTGAAACCGTAATATTATGGATTCTTTGATGAAGAGACTGTTTATTCAAGTTTATTCTATCAGTGTGAAATCATAAATTTCTTTACTGTCACTTTTGATCATTTGAATGTGTCTTTGCTGGATAGATGTAGTGATTAAAACCCAATTAAACTGATCCCAGAGATTTTATCTGTACTCTAATTCAGAAAACAACCCACAGTATAATAAAGTCTAGGTAATATAAACTAAAGCTTTATAAAAACTAAAATAATCAATCACAAAAAACAAACAATGTGCCTTTCAAAGTCAGCCAGTGAAATGAGAGCAAGTTTGAAGCCATCTCATATTTAATCTATAGGGCCAGACAGAAGAGAATTTTGTAAAAAAATCTGCAAATTCATGCAAAATGTTTTGGCAGTATCATAGCTTACAACTTAATATATGAAATACTAAATAATACTCTTTTAACTGTAAGGTTTACAATGTAAATCTAATTAGATACATTTATTTGGTAAACAAAGCAAGTCTCTCATATAATATATTTACTAAAACCCGCAAAATATATTACTTTACAAGCTGTATTGTAAATAAATGAGATGAACATTTTCATATTTGTCAATAATTATAGTGAAATTTATTTAATAACTGAATAAATATAAATTCACACACATTTACAGAAGCAAATAAATTGACTCAATGATGGGCTAAACATCTGTGGATTTCTATTTGCACAGATTATTTGTGGACCTACTAATCGGTAGTGCCAGATGGAATCTGCTGACATTTTTTGCTGTTTCTGTGCAGAATTTTGTTAAAATCTGCAGATTTATGAGGAAAGATTTTGGCAGTATCATTACTAAAAACTTAATAAATGAACTAAAAAGGAATACCTTTTTAACTTGTATTTAATGTTTACAGTGCAAATCCAATTAGATCCACTTTATTAGGTAAACAAATCAAGTCTTCTTTAAATCTACTAAAAGACAGAAAATATGACTTTACAAACTGTTTTAATAAATAAATTATAAGAACATTTTCATATTAGTCAATAATTATTGCTGAAATTAATTTAAACACTTTGAATTTACACACATTTACACATGTAAATAAATAGACTCAATGATGGGCTAAAAATCTGTAGATTTTTACCTGCGCAGATTCCATGTGGGCCTACTAATCAGTTATATTCATATAGATTATATTAAAATCTTGTGTAAAAAAAGCAGAAGTGGAAATGTTGCAAGAGCTGCCCTGTTTATTTTAGGCTGCTTTGGGAATGACGTGGAATGACTACAACTCTCTATCGGATTTACAAAAAATGGACCTGAAGAAAAGCAAAGGACTTTACTTAGCATGAGACTCAACACCAGCAATGATGTGTTTGTAAGATGAAGTGTTCCTGATGGCGGTCGTGTCGTGTGTACAGTGTAACTGTGAGTGTGAGTCGGCTTCCTTTCAACCTGATGCTTTTTGTAATGCCTAATGTCCAGCCAAAAGCTTTCTAAAGTTTCAAAACAGTTTACTCAGACTTTGAGAAATAGCTGCCGTTTTTCTTTCTTCCTCCCCTTCCTCCATCGCAGCTGTTTTTTGTCTTGCTTTCTTTATCTCTCTCTCTCTCTCTGTCGGCCTCCTCTATACATTAAACAGCACATGTGAATAGAGGTCTGCGTTCTGCAATGTTTATTTTAAAATAAAAATATCATGACGTTTTTTGACTGTCAAGCTTTTATTCACCTTTACAAGTCTCAAATACATAAAGGGTGAGAATGAAAGAACAAATAGAGGCACAAATAAAAAAATGTCAGTAACAAGATTACCCAAAAAATGAAGATGAATAGAAATGAAAAGAGGAAATGCTGAAAATCAGTGGAGGCTGGAATAACTGAATAAAACTGAAACCTAACAGAATATGAATGATGACTGGATTATATATATAATATTCCGCCCATGTCCCCCCAAGTATTCACCTAATTCTCCGTGTACGAGCGTGCGCAGCCATTTAAAACTTTTAAGCACGAGACTTCCGGTCTTATTCACTTTCGTTCATTTTTAGATGTTAAAAACAGCTTGTTTTGCTGTTTGTTTTTTGTTTTTTTGCAAACTGATATTTTCTTTGTATATTATTATATTTTGTCTGTATAGTCATGAACACACTTCTTTGTAAAGTAGTTTGACCATTTTCTGCCGGTTATTATTCCTGGTCATTTCTCCCATAGACAACTAAATCAGAAGTTCTAAACAATCACAAACACAAGCACACTTCGGCATTGAAGAATGAGGTCAATAGCATTAGCAGTATATTTTGACCTTGAGTGGACATATTTTTGTCCCCATGATAAAAATGGTTCATAAATCACACAGAATTAAATAGTTTGAAAAATGCAAGAACAAACTGCAGATATTTTTCTATAAGGGTTGGGGTGATAGGATAGAATATATGGTTTGTACAATTTATAAATCAGTACGTCTATGGGAATTCCCCATAATCAAAACTGTTCTGTGTGTGTGTGTGTGTGTGTGTGTGTGTGTGTGTGTGTGTGTGTGTGTGTGTGTGTGTGTGCGTGTGTGTGTTAGAGTGGTTGCTGGAAGTGTGAAGTGTAATGGGGGTTGGGGGAGGGAATTAGTTTGGATTTAGGTTTCACGTGACTGGTGAAAAATTACAGGCCTCCTCTAGATAGCAAATGGACTCAAGAATGTGAGAGAGATTTGGAGCAACTGCAGATACAGCCACAAAATCAACACTGTTTTGAACGCTACATAGGAGAGATCAAATAAAAGATAAATACTAATATGAAAGTGCTACACTGTAAGATAAATCAGCTATTTTACGTGCTTTTCTGGCAGCTGGCGGAAAAAAAAAAACATTAAATAACAGCCATTAAATTACAGACATTTGCCGTAAAATAACAGATGGTAAATTACAGAAATTTATTGGAAACTTAAACTTAAGAACATTTCTATAATTTAACTTCCGTTATTTTAAGGTAAATGTCTGTAATTTAACAACCGTTGTTTTACCTTTTTTTCACCACTCCAGCTGCCCCCCAAAAAACTTAAAATAATAGATTTTTTTACAGAGTACAACTTAAAATGTGATTATACACCGTAAAGTGTCTCTTTAAAATGTACACTGTATGTACAATATGGGTCAAAGACAAGGTGCTTCATTTTGGTGTTTGCATGAAATTAAAATACAGAAGTGATTTTACATAATAATAGATAAAAAGAATATTACTAGAGAATAGGGTTGCACAATGTATCATTTCAGCATTGATAACGCAATGTGCAAATCTGCAATAGTCACATCACTTTGCACAAAGTTTAACTATAGTAATTGTTAATAATTATAGGCTGTGACTATAAGATTTAAAGCAAATTTTTACCAACTGAGAACAAGAAATAATAAAGTGTACCGCTTTAACAAACTCAATTGTGTTTAAATATTTGTACAATGAACACTGCATGTCCAGATCCAATCATATAATCGAAAATCAGGCGCGATCACACGGTTTCAGACTCGATCAGAATCGGATGTTACCTTCCGATCAGGACTCTAATATATATGTATATATACACGTATACAGTTGAAGTTAGAATTATTAGCCTCCCTTTCAATTGTTTTATTTTTTAAACATTTCCAAAGTTATGTTTAACAGAGCAAGGAAATATTGCTGATACATACTGATAATATTTTTTCTTCTAGATAAAGTCTTATTTGTTTTAGTTCGTCTAGAATAAAAGTTTTAATAAAAACATTTTAAGGTCAAAATTATTAGCCCCTTTAAGCTATATATTTTTTTCTGACTGTCTACAGAACAAACCATCGTTACACAATAACTTGCCTAATTACCCTAACCTGCCTAGTTAACCTCATTAACCTAGTTAAGCCTTTAAATGTCACTTTAAGCTGTATAGAAAGGTCCTGAAGTATATCTTGTCAATTATTATTTACTGTCATCATGGCAAAGATAAATCAGTTATTAAAAATGAGTTATTAAATCTATTATGTTTAGAAATTTGCAGAAAAAAATCCTCTATTGGTTAAACTGAATTTGGGGAAAAAAATAACCCGGGAAATAATAATCCAAGAGGGTGGGGGGTGGGGGGAGATAAGGAATATCCTGGATCTGTTTCTTGGCTCTTCTTTATTCTTTTTTTATTTATTATAGAAGTATCGGATTGAGTTTTGGTATCAGTAGATACTCACAATCAAATGACTCTGACTCAAGGGCAAAAAAAACCTGATCGAGACATCTCTACTATATAGTTGTTGTTGTTGTTTATTTTCTCAGTACTGCTTAACTACACAGAAAACCATAAAGCACTGTTGATTTATATTCATCGCTGTGCTTTATTTTACTTTGTGTATTTTTTGGATAATACATTCCCCTGCAAAAATCATTCCAGTCAATGTAAAACTATAAATTATTTCAAAACAGTTACTTAATTCATGTTGAAAAGTTATATTTATATCACGATGTATATTACAAAAAAACTATGTCAGTTTTTTCCAATATCTTGCATCTTTAATACAGAATATGAAAACATATTTGCGATATGCAATTTTGTTACACTGAATAACATTGCTCTAGGTGTTTTTATGTTTTTTTTTTGCTCATTAAAATTAACAAAACAAAAAAGCACCATATTTTAATGTACATAATGTGCTTTTATTATTTTGATGCTTGAAAGCCCCTTTCATCTTTGACCCATATACAAACTGATCTGCTAAATCGGCTGAATTGCTATCAAATGAAACATTAGAATTGTAGTGCATTTTTAGAGGAAAATATATATAATTGAATAATAATGCATGGAAACATATCACAGGCAGGCTACAATACACACAATTGCACTCAAATATGAGGCACAAGGAAGAAAAGATATACTTTGTTTTGTTGATACTGTATACTATAGGGTTTAGCTTCATAGCTTAACAATGCCATCTAGCATTATTCTTTGGATTGTAAGGTTTTGATTGCTGCAGGCATTTTCTTGCCATTACTATATACATAGAAATCCAGCATGAGGAAATATCAGACAGTATGATCACAGAGAACCATTAAACTCTATGTAACAGAGATGAGGTGAAAGGAAAAGAAGACATTCTGTCCTCTAAAAAAACCTGTGCTGCTCATGTTTTTGAAAATTGTGTGTGTATATATACAGTATCGCTGCTTCAGATGGACTGCTCTCTATCTGGAAAACATCTCTCTGGTTCAGATGCTAAAGCGGCTTCTCTCAGCACGACCATGTGATCTTCAGCTGCATGCAGTGATTGATCGATCCAGTCCAGGCTGCCTGACATGTGACAGGCGTTTCGAGTCACCAGAACCAAGTGACTGACCGACAGTAGTAATGCTGTGGCCCTGATCCAGAAAACAAGGTGTTAATTTATTGTGTTTCATTGCAGCAACTTAAATCTTTATTTCCTGCCGGAATATGATGATACCTGGCATCCAGAAGAATGGGGTCCAGCGGAGGATACATTGATCGGACCACGTCGTCCACCCTGTGATGGGAGTAAAACATCAGCATAAGCACTCTCAGATGTGTCAGATATTTACCTCTCAGGCTGTTTACCTTGGGCTGATGCGTTTGGCAACAGTGATGATGTCATTTAGACTGGCAGGAGCTTTGACCTTTGCTCCAGAGCCCATTGTCATGGCCACTAGCTTTTCGGTGAGGGTATGGCAGATCTGTACCAAAAAAATCAATAATCTAATTAAACCAAAGCAATTTGTTGTATCTTACATTTATATCACATTACATACAATACATATACATGTATTGTGTGTATACAGTTTGTTTGTATATACAAATATCAATCTATATATATACATATATATTCATATATATTGCTTTATTCTGTAAACTACTGATGGTATTCACAAATTTATAGCATTTTTAGCAAAAAGTAACAAAATGTTGCCATGTTTCCAGATATTTGGTTCAGACTTTTGATGGTCCAGTTGTTGAATTTAAGTTACATTGCATCTACATGTCAGCTAATTCTCATTAGAATGTAGACTGTTAGGTTGGCTTTGGGTTTAGGGTTAGTGTAAGTTGACATGTACTTGCAAAGTTTCTTATAGTCAGTTAAATGTCTGTTGAAGTAGCAGTATCAACCGATATTAAGCAGACAGTCTACTTAAATGGACCATTAAAAAAAAAAACTGTAACCCATATTTATATACATTTTTAGACAACACAATAACAATGTTTAAACTTCAGAGCCCTGGCTTTTAACAACAACAAATCAAATCATTTGTTATTTTGGCCAATTGTCATTATTTGAAAAAAAAGAAGAAAATTGAATTAAATGGAATGAAACCTTTAAAGTAAACCTTTTGTAATATACACACAAATACACGTATTTAATGCACAAAATCCTCTTAAGTTTATATATATATACAGTGTATGCATACAAACTGTAATGCATACAGTTGAAGTCAGAATTATTAGCCCCCCATGACTTATTAGCGCCCCTGTTTATTTTTTTCCCCAATTTCCGTTTTTTGGAGGGAAGATTGTTTCAGCACATTTCTAAGCATAACAGTTTTAAAAACCTATTTCTAATAACTGATTTATTTCATCTTTGTTATAATGACAGTAAGTAATATTTTACTTGATATTTTTCAAGACACTTCTGTACAGCTTAAAGTGACATTTAAAGGCTTAACTAGGTTAATAAGGTGAACTAGGTAGGTTAGGGTAATTAGGCAAGTTATTGTATAATAATGGTTTGTTCTGTAGATTATCGAAAAAAAAAAATAGCTTAAAGGGGCTAATAATTTTGTCCCAAAATTGTTTTTTTTTTTATTAAAAACTGATTTTATTTTAGCCGAAATAAAATCAATAAGACTTTCTCCAGTAGAAAAAATATCATCAGACATACTGTGAAAATTTCCTTGCTCTGTTAAACATCATTTGGGAAATATTTAAAAAAGGAAAAAAAAAATCAAAAGGGGGCTAATAATTCTGACTTCAACTATACTATAACTATATGTATATATATATATATACACACACAGTGAGGTCAATAAGTATCTGATCACCCTTGTGATTTTTCAAGATCTCCTATTTAGAAATCATAGTCGGGGTCTAGAATTTTTTTTCAGCAAAGCTGCTTTTCCACTATGAGAGACAGAATCTACATATAAATCCTGTAAAAAAAATCTGGAAGGTTCCCCCGCTTAAGTTAGCCCATGTCCAGGCTTATCTGAAGTTTGCCAGGGACCATCTAGATGATCCAGAGGAGTCATGGGAAAAAGTCCTGTGGTCAGATGAGACCATAGTAGAGCTTTTTGGTCTTAACTCCATTCGTTGTGTTTGGAAGAAGAAGAATGATGAGTATCATCCCAATATTAGCAAAGGGCTGAAAGCATCATGCTCTGGAGGTGTTGTTCTGCACAGGGGACAGGACGAATGCAGTGTATTAAGGAGAGAATAAACGGCGCTATTGTATTATGAGATATTGGGCAAAAACCTCCCTCCCTCAGTCAGAGCATTAAAGATGGGTCGTGGCTGGGTCTTCCAACATGACAATGTCCGAAATCACAAAGCCTGAAAACCAAGGAAGGGCTCCGTTAGAAGCATATTGAGGTTCTGGAGTGGCCTAGCCAGTCTCTAGAACTAAATCTGATAGAAAATATTTGGAGAGAGCTGAAACTCTGTGTTGCTTAGCAACAGCCCTGACAGATCTAAAGAAGATCTTTGTGGAGAGGTGGGCCAAAATCCCTCCTGCAGTGTGTGCAAACCTGGTGAAGAACTACGGGAACCATTTGACCTCTTTAATTGTTAACAAAAGTTTCTGTACCAAATATTAAACATATTTTTGCCTCAAGTTATCAGATACTTATTTGACAGTAAATTTACGAATAAATTGTTTAAAAAAAGCATACAATGTAATTTGTACAATATGTATACAGTATATATAAACTCCAACCTCTAATCATAATAAAGCTGCGGTCACACTGGGCTTTCCTCCCATAGACTTCCATTCATACGCACGCGAATGCGTCCGACCAGAAACACAGGGTCATGCATTAAGTTTTGCAGGTTGCTGCAGTGCAAAGTTCAAGCTTGGTGAACTCTGACCTGCAAAATCGCATCACTTGACTGCGTGAGACCAATCGAAGATAAAAACATGACATCTCTGGATAGAAATTAAAAACCTGGAGCAATCGCTTACTTTTTTAAATGTCTAATAAGCTTGTTTAATCCCGCCCGCAGCACTGCACAACAAAATATCACATGCTCAAACTCTAATGTCACCGCAGCTTAACTTTAAATATAATTTAAGACATCAAAATAATTTTGATATTATATATTGTAAAATACTTTATTACAAAAAAAAATAAAAAAATAAATAAAAATTACCTTCAGAATCGCAATGCAGTGAGATACAAGACCCCTGGCAAGAAGAGATAGATCTCAGTTACATCCGAATTACCAAGTATTAACAAAAGAATATTATTTTAAACAAAATTATTATGGACTGTGGATACATACGAGGCATCTTCAATCCAGTCTTCATTCTCCAGCATGGCCTCAATATGAGGATTAGTGATGACAACATCATCCAGCTCCAGCTCTGATGGTTCACTCTGAGTCTCCATCGCTCCAATCAGATCCACTGTAGGCCTGAAATTGAACAATAAGAAGCAGAAAAGTAGAGAACGTGGCAATGCAATGCTGCAACTTAAAATGTTGAACTCTCTCTAATCCTGTATGGGAATGAGGTCATACCATATTCTTATATAAAGTACATACTTGGAGTCAAACTGGTGCAGAAAGTCTGGAGGGTGGCAGTACCGATGGCGACACACAACCACCAGCGCCACAAATGATGCCAAGAAGATGGTGGCGAGGACACCTATCGCCACGATCACCACCGTCTCCATTCTTTACAGATGGTGATTAGGAGGAGGATTGTCAGAAAGTTGCTTGGTTGGAGTTTAGAGTTGCCCAAGCTAGACCATTCTGAGAAAAAGAATAGATTATACCAGCGCATGGGCACTGCAAAAGTCAAACCTCCTTTAGATGAAAACATGAATGACAGTCTCTAAAACAGCCTAATGTTGTCAAGCTGACTCTAATAACAGATATTCAATTATGAACAAATTTTGCATACATGTTTGTAAACCATTCAGTCAACTAAAGAAAGTTGATGTTGATGTTCAAACAAGTGAACAAAGTGGATAAGCTAGTCATTTATTAGTATTTATAAGATACCAAAATAGAGCCTGATGACAGATGCAAGAATATGAGGAGGGTGAAGAAGTGGATGATGTGGATGAAAAAATGTAAGAAATTTCTAATTTGAAAAATCAATTCTGCATCAAACTAAGTTTTATTCTTTTAAAATGTCTTTTTTTAATTTTTTTTATTAAAATGTAAAAAAAGCTTTGTTATTTGTAGATTAACTCAGAACAGCCCCTTATATTTTAGGATTTCCCCCCAATCATTTAACATTATCGTTGGATGTTAATAATTGTCATGTCATGTTGGGTATTAGTCATATAACATGCAATTAAACATATAATATGTGTTATTTTTATTTATATTATATTTTTGGTATATTTACTTTAAAATCTTTATCTTTTACTTCTATTCATCCTGTTTTGTTTTAAATTACACAAATTATGACTTATTAATAACATAAATACAAATATACTGTTATATATACACATATACTGCTGCATACAGGGATGGGCAGTATTTATGATACATGTATTTTAAATATGCATTTCAAATAGAAAATAGTATTTTGTAATTTGTATTTGATAAGGTTTATGAAAATGGCTTAGTATTTTGTATCAAAATACTTTAGTGTCTTGCATTTTTGTAGTTTCAAAGTACTGTAAAATACATTGCAAGAAGTCTACAGTACATGATGCCATCTTAATAATGAGGCCTCTGATTGGTGTTTTCTCAGTTATTTGCCTAGGCTGGAGATCAGAACAGAAAACTGATTTATTATTAAGAAGGTGGTCAATGATTGGAGTATGAGTGGAAATTATGCTTTAGGAAAGTAACACAAATGGTGAGGGTATATTCAGAAGCAAGTCTGTTACTCTGCTGAGACCATATATATATATATATATATATATCAGGGTAGTTCAGTTTTTAGTGTTTAAGTTCAGTTCAGTTTAGCTCAGTTAAGTGTGGTGTGTATATATATATATATATATATATATATATATATATATATATATATATATATATAATGTCTTTAGAGTACAATCTAACATATTCACTTAAGAAATTAAATGGAATAAAATATCAGTCCTTAGGAACCTTCCGCACATAATCATTCTCAGTCTCAGTGCTGCAAGAGGAAATACTGAGGAACTTTAGAAATATAAAACACTTAACAATGGTGCACTGGTGTGTTTAAGAGGGTAAACCGAGGCTCTTACAGTTAAAAAAAAGAGCTAAAAAAATCCTGGGAGAATGAGTATATAATAATAGATGGAAATTGCAAATAATGTGAACAAAAAATGAACTTTTTATAGGCCTGTAACCTTTTAAAATCTAAGATTGTTAATAGGTTGAATAATCATTGAACAGAGATGATGGGATTTTTACTGGCCACGCAATGGGTGGAAAGATAATCGATAATCAACAGATCTCGTACAATTTCTTACTCAGAATTAAATGATTTAAATCATAGGATATCATCTTTAAGACTGAACTTTTTGTATAAAATTTGTGTAAAAAGTATACTAAACTCAAAGAGAAACACAAGTTACCATGGGTTCAAAGTTCAACTCACTAACCATTAGGCAACACCTCCCCTACGGGTGAATGAAATGGCAGAGAAGATTAGTTGTTATCAAACATTGTTTACTAAGTCAGTTTAATGGTGAAGGGATTGATCGAATATGTCTATGATGTCTAATGTCTATAGAGTACAATCTAAGATATTCACTTAAGAAATTAGATGGAATAAAATATCAGTCCTTAGGAACCTTCCGCACATAATCATTCTCAGTCTCAGTGCTGCAAGAGATAATCGATAATCGGAAAGAAATGTCAGTATTTTCAAAATACAGTATTTTATTTTGATACATTTGTGGCTGCTGTATTTTGTAGTTTATTTTGATACGTTTAAAATTTGTGTATTTGGTATTTTATTTTAAAATACGTATTTTTACTTATCTCTGGCTGCATGTGCTGCTGCAAATTACAAATGCAAATTATATTATAATTTACCTTCATATTTATAGAAACAATAGTCTTAAAAATATTATAGGCACATTTATTTTATTTTACGCTGCAAGTTACAGTAATATTAATTCTTTAAATGTGACACATGCAAATATCAAGTCCTCAAGCTTTTATTTTTGTTTTTATTTTTAATGATACATTTGTTAAACATCATTTTTAAGTACTTCTAGTAAACTTCTCACACCAAAATCAAGCCTTGCAGTAGTACTGTACCTACATTTACTTTTGTGTTTGTGTCACAAAGAAGCAAAGAAAAATGTAATATGTGAGTCTTTATGACGTGTTGAGTAAATAATATCTTGTAGTCAACATTACCTTCCATTTACTGTCCTCATGCTTCATTAGAGATAACAGCTTGATTTATACACTCACCCATATCCTTCACCTCTTATCTAGACTCTTTTTGATTAAATATGTAAAGCACAATTCAGACTGCTCTGTCCGAGGCCTCTCTGACTTTCATACCAGTTCAAGAGCCAACCTTTCATTCGAATGAAATATAAAAATGACTAAAGTATGAGTATGTTGTGTACTTATGTGTGTAATTATGTCTTTGTAAGTGTCACACCCATCAGACCTTTGATCAGTCAATCATTAACATGATCACAGTATATATGTGCCAATCCGGAACCATGTGTTTACTGTACATCACTGTTTTAAAAGGACAGTTTACTCAGTAATGGACATAATGCCATCATTTACTCCCCTTCAAGTGCTTCCAAACTTGTTTGAGCATTACTCATTTGTTGAATATGAAATAAGATATTTTGAAGGTAGTTGGAAACTTTAATTGACTTTTTTATTATTATTATTTTTCTATGGATGTAAATGCATACTGGTTTCCAACAATAGTCTTTAAAATATATATTTTACACCTGAAGAAGGACAACAACAAAGGCGTGGAACCACTTGAAGGTGAAATTAACGATGAATTACATTTTTAGGTTAAGTATTTCAATTATAGTGTATGTATGCAATGTGTTTGCCCTGCATTTTAGTAGAAATTGAAGGCAAGTGTGAAAATATAAATAAATAAAATAAAAATTTTACAAATATACCTTAACTCTTATAACTTCATGTCCCACCCGTTTCCAGTAACTTATTCATGTTTGATTCAAAAACAAACAGAAAATATGATTGTTTATTTAAAACATTTTTAGTAATTGCATAAAGTATTTAACAAGCATTACAAAAGCAGCATTTTGATGGAGATGATTATGTGAAATTGTGTTTTGGAATGCTGTAATTCCCTAATCGGCTTAATCTTGAGTCTGCTGGCCGTATCATACTGCGCACTCTCTACAGGCCCTTATTAAAATTCACCCTGGCGTTCAGAGACACTGGATTAACCTTTTTAGTTCTTAATGATTCAGTGCATTTTAAGGACACAAGAATGGTTATGTTATCATAAACTGTACAATATATATGAAAAGAAGCAAAACCTAAGCAAAAAAAATCTATACCATCTATACCATTTTATTTGCCATTAGTTTGGCAGCCACAAATTAGTAAAACAGATTAAATCTAAAAAAATCTTTTTAAAAAACTACATTTTTGTTTATCTTCTAAAGAACTTGGACATCATTTTCATTCACTTTCTTTTTGGCTTAGTCCCTTTATTAATCCGGGGTCGCCACAGCAGAATGAACTGCCAACTTATCCAGCACATTTTTATGCAGCGGATGCCCTACCAGCCACAACCCATCTCTGGGAAACTTCCACACACACACTACGGACAATTTAGCCTACTCAATTCACTTGTACCACATCTCTTTGGACTGTGGGGGAAACCAGAGCACCCAGAGGAAACCCACACGAACGCAGGGAGAACATGCAAACTCCACACAGAAACGCCAACTGAGCTGAGGATCTAACCAGCAACCCAGCGACCCTCTTGCTGTGAGGTGACAGCACTACCTACTGCGCCACTGCATCGCCACATCATTTTCAATCCATACTTAAAAAGCCCATGTAAGAAAATTATGTTAAAATTGTACACAGTTTTATCATGTTTTAAACAAGTATGTGTAACGGAGGCCAGCTAGTGTGTGCTGTGCAGGTAAACCTCACTCCTCTGACCTCTAAAGGTGCTCTAGTGACACACGATAGAGGCCATGGTCTTTAGCCTCCTAGGTAGAGCACCCTACTCCCATGCAGAAGGTTGCTGGTTTGATACCAGCTCAGAGCAGGTTGGGTAGCGTAGGACTGGTGGGGATACATTGGTGTCGTGACCCAGATGGGAGTGAGGTTTAGGGGGGTGAGTGTAATGGAGGCCAGCTAGCTTGTGCTGTGCAGGTAAACCTCACTCCTCTGACCTCTAAAGGTGCTCTAGCGACAGATGCTAGAGGCTGTGGTCTTTAGCCTCCTTGGTAGAGCACCCGACTCCCATGAAGAAAGTCGCCAGTTCGATACCAGCTCGGAGCTGGTTGGATAGCGTTGGACCGGCAGGGTTACATATGCACACATTATTGCTGTGAGTTCTTTTCATTAGTGCTGGTTAAGGAGGTAAAAATATTATAGTAATTTATAAAGAGGAGAGCAAATATATGGAAAACAAGGGAAACACATAAGCCCAAGAGGCCACTTTTTTCTTTCTTTCTTCCTTTTTTTTTTTTTTTTTTTACAATTTATTATTTTAAAATGATATATAGTTGATTTATTCTGTAAACTAATGATATTCCTTTTAAATTTAAAATAAAAATGTTGTTTCAACAATTTATTAACATAAAAAATGCAGACGTTTATATTAATTTTAAAACAAAACAGTAAATTAACAGCAAGTGCATATATACAGTAGAATAACTGATTTGCATTTTGTAATAATAATATTGTTAGCATTCACAATTTGTTGATAGATATCTAGAAAAATACATGTGCAGTTATTTAGAAAATAATGCAAAATGAAATATTGTCTCTGAATTTTGGACCCCAATGTGATGTTCATCATTACAAAATAACCACTTTTTATAGATAAATCAAGGATAACGTTAGGCCTAAATGATAAATTATTACAAGAACAAAGAATGAATTCAAAATTCATTGACAAACACTGCATGTTCTGTCATCTCCAGAATGGTTAGATGGTTAGTAATAGGTACAAAACATGAAAAAAGGTTTTGGTTGTACCAACAGCTTCATAAAAAAGTCATTAAACTAGATAAAACTTACGTGTTGAAACGTATTTAAACGTGTTAATTTAGCTTTGTGTTTGATAAAATGTAGCTTTTATCTATTTTAAACCAATTAGAGTAACAAATAAAGCTAATCTTATAAGTTTAAATGTAAGTTTTATCGAGTTTAATTGTATTTTCATGAAACACAAGAAAAATAGCCCTCAATCTGTTTATATAAATCTTTTCTCACTATAACATCAGGCACTATACTTTTGACTCGCCTTCTTTTGTACACACCAACCATTTATTTTGCGTTTTCACTATAAGTTCTATTAACAAATAACAATGTAATATCATCACCGCTTAAATTAGTTGTATTTTATTTTCTTACCTGTATATCTTTTCCATTTTGTGGCGTTTATCCCACGAACAAAGCGCGTTGTGCTGTTCAGACGGAGACGGCACGGATATCTCCACACGGGAGCGCGCAGCAGAGAACTTCGCCCTCGCGCACAGGCGCGCGCTTACCTTCGCCACCAGGTGTCATTCACGAGCATTGTGTGGATGATAGAGTCCATATGGGGTTTTATTATTATGTTACATCGCTGGCAGTGTGATTGTGGATTAACCACCGGATATGACAGAAGTGGGACCAAATCATTGTTTTGCAAGTCACAAGTAAGCCACAAGTCTGTGAATATAAAGGTCAAGAAACGTGTCAAGTGAAACCCCAAGGGTAGGTAAGTCCAGAACAAGCTGCTAAGAAAATTTCAGTTTCTAATCTTTAGGTTCTTTGGCCAAATTATTGTCACGTTTTTAATATTAGCATTGAGTTAGTTTATATGAACATTTAGGCTACCTGGTTCGTTATACATTTAAATATAGCCCAATAATAGCAACAAGTACTTTATGGTTTTCCAAAAATTGCTTCTCATGCAGTGGTTTGCTGTTTGTGAATGCAAAATATCTGTAAACTATTTAACACCAAAGTGTGTGATAAATAAAATCATCCATCCATTCATTTCCATGGTTCAGAGTTCAAGCATGTTTTTTTTTTTCAGATTAAGCACACCGTCGCATTATCACGAAACCATTAAAATTAAGACAAACGAAACAAACAAAAGACACGGTACTGTATAGCATTACATTATATGTCTACACGCACAAGCCTGTATGTTCTCTTTCATCATATTCATTTACTTGCCGACTGACTGTTGGCATCGTGCATCAAGACCCAGATGGAGTCAGTGCAGTGAGTGCACGCACACATCCATAATATAAAACCACAGAAATTCTCCGCTAATAACTCTCTCCGCTAGAAAATTTATTTTATAACAACCTCGTTTTGATAGACGCCATCAAACATTCAGCCCAAATGCTCCGCAGAGACTTGAAACATATAATTTTTCCCTAGGCTATATGACTCTTAATAGGTAATTCCCCTTTATTTAAAGATGTTGCATATTATTCTGTGATCTTAAGCAAAGTGTTCAGTGTATCAGCATAAGAGCAAGTAATAAAATATAGCCTGTAGGCAGAGGTGGGTAGAGTATCCAAACCCAGCAAGCAATATAGCCATCATTTCGCTGGCTAGATAAAGTATAGACCAGGGGCCTCATGTACGAAGACTTGCATGGAAATCTTACTAAAACTTTGCATACGCACAAAGCTGTAAATGTGCGTACGCAGAAAAAAATTCAGATGTATGAAACACTGCGTACGCCGAATCTCACGCATATTCTTTTGTACATCTGAATGAACGTGAAACTCAGCGCAACATGCATGAGCACAAAACCCCTCCCTGCCTCCTCCCCCGTATGAATATGCTAATGATTCTCTTTGGCAAAACTCAATGAAAAAGCAATGGCAAAAGCAAGCAAAAAGAGATACAGAATGTGAATTGGAGGTGCTGCTTTCGGAGGTAGACCAGAGAAAAGCGGTGTTATTTGCAAGTTTGTTCTCCGGAATTAACAACAAAAGAAAAAAATAGAGTGGGAGAGTTTAGCTGATGCGGTTAACACAGTTGTATCTGAACATCGCACTGAGTGAATTAAAAAAGAAATAGTGTGGTTTATATGTGTAAAATGTTGCAATGCCCTTAACAGTCTCAGTGGTGCAGCTCGTAAGACGCAAATCAACATGTTTTGACACGTTCGAGCATGATCTCGGTTCGAATCCAGTGTCTGATGAAGTCTTTCTTCTTTTTTTCCCCACTACATATCAGGTTTTGCGAACTATTTATCACGAGAAAGACAAGTAGGAATCATTAATAAGTTTGTGCATCATATTTTATTTGCACATTTATTGAATGGAAATGTTTCTGATTCACACATGCAAATTCATCTTCAGATAGTGTCTTTATAGCAATGTGCGTGCAGTATAAACCCGTCTCATACAGCTGCCATTGCAAGGCTCAGACACTTTGTAGAGAGGAATTTAACACAACTGCCTCTAGGAGTCGCCAATGGAAATAAAACAGACACGCACAAAAAATGTGCGTACGCCAGCTATAAAGCTATAAAGATTTTTTTTGCTAAATAAAGTTTATGATACTCCATCATGTAAGAAAAGGCAATTTCGTTAAAGACGTACCTGCAAGTAATTGATGTAGTTTAAATTTCTCTGTGAAGTATAGATACAATGTGTAACCCATCTCTAGCCCAAAAATTTTTTTTATTTGCTTACCTGTGCTTTTTGGCAAAATACTTTGTGATATTTATGATATTCCTTCAAGTAAGGAAAGTCAATCACATTTACAAGGTGTTTGGGATTTTAAAAATATATTTTATTTTCATAGCCTGAGCGTATGTCCATGTGAATGTTAAAGTTCCCCAAAAGAAGCATTCTCTCAAATTTGAGGTGGAGAAAAGTCAACATCTATGAAAATTATAATATATAATGCTCTTATATAATGCCAAGGATATAATGTCATTTTTGGCGAACAGGTGAGATATCCGAGAAAGCCAGACAAAAAAAGACTGCAGTATGCATTACAGGGGTATATATTGACCACATAATAGGCAACCGATTAGAGAATAAATCAATCAAAATTGAAGCTAGCTTAGCCTAGCCGCCTCATGTGCTAACTATTCAACAGCTTAGCTCATGCTCAGCAGAAGAGGTGACGTTTAAAAATAATCTACTAATAATAAATGAAACCGTGATTTCTCTATTTTTAACCAAAAAGCCTGATAGATTAGTTGTTGTGCAATGAAATAAAGCCTTACTAACCGACGAGGAAACACGCAGTGCTTTTACATAGTTCATTCATAGAAAGAACAGCAAGAAAGGGAAACTGATGGATTTGTGCCGAATTTTAGCATCATTGACCCATAACAATGTACAGTAGGTTTCTTATTAACGTTACTGTCAGTATGTTTGCGTGCTCTTTATAAATGACTGAAAAACAGCTGGGAGTAAAGAATATTGATCACAGCTGCTCAGTTTGTGATCATATCTCGTTTTTGTTCTGTTGATTTGTAATTTCAAATATTCGTAGCTTGAAATAGATATAAATATGAAGTTCAGTAAAGTTAGCAACAGATTCGCAGATTCATATTTTCCAGATCAATAACTCATGTCATTATGATCTACTCGCTGTTAGTATGACTACATTAAGTTACTAACGTTATGGCGAAGGCTTAAACGGAGCATTACTCATACTATCGAGCAAAAAAAGGAATAAGACAGCTGTGAAACATAACCAGCTTTGTGTTTTTGTAGGAAACACAGTTTAGATCTGTTTAGCGTAAGAGTTGTGAATTATTGCCGCTGGTCTATCACTGAATGTGTCAGGAATATCAAAACAAAACCAACCTAGCTCCGCTCCTTTAGCTCCCCTCACACAGCTTGATACACGCTGGCATTTCATCTCTTGGGTTTTAGGTTTTGAAAAGGGAAAAAATTCCCCCATCCCGTCCAAACTTTAAGGAGACCGGGTATCAGATTTGCACTATCCATATGCACTCGCTCGAAAGCTTGACAGAGCCCCTGCGCGTAGCTACAGTTGCTAAGCCACAATTGGTGGATGGCGGTTTTTAAGCATGGCTTAGCGAAGGGTCAATTGAGGAGTGAGGAAGGGAGGCGGGGTGGAGCGACAACGCTCACAGACCTGGGAACTTTGGTTCCGACCACAGTTGTTCCCAAGAGTTTGATTATTGCGGTTACAGGATTTTCAATTATTGAAAATCGCGACGACGTGGGGCCCCCTAATCACGTGCCCCCCACGGTGCGTGCCCTGCGGGCCCATCCGCTACCCCACTGATGAACATTGAATATGTTGAAAGAAACATCTGTGATAGAATCAGGGCCGGAGTGGGACTCCTTTTCATCCCTGGAGTTTCAAGTAATAGACCAGCCCACCTCAGTTCACGACTGACTATATTAAAATAAGGTCATTTCCAATTCAGTTTCTAATTACACTATCACGTCTTTTTCAAGAAAAAAAGCTGCTTTAGAACTTCAAATGTTCAACAACCTTACAGCTTTATATGTCTTAACAATAAAAATGAAAAATTACTCTGGTGAGGATCGAACAAAGATCAGCGACATCGTAACGCAACGTGCTGACCACTGGACCACATTTAATATCAATTAAATGTATTAATATATTTTTAATATCTAAATCCTGACTGGATGACATTCAATGTTCGATGAGGACAATGTTGTTGTGCACTTTGGCCTTCTGGAATATATGGGACCAGCTGTCTGTTCACCCCAGGTAAAAACCTAGAGTTGGGTTAGGGTGTGTTTTGTAAGGTAGTGGTGGGTGGGACACAGGGCACATCCTAAGTTGAAAAAAAAGCAAAATACTTTTAAAGCGTTTTGCTTTACTATGAAATACATAAAACGTGGCTGATTGGCCTTTATGTCTATTCAGTTTCTAGCTCAGGTGAAACACTCTGGTTGGAACTGACCAGATAAAGCCCATTGCACAGTCAGTTATTGTGTGCATTCAGAGATCTTGTATCAATTAATCAATCAATCATCTTTTCTTTATAGCACCTTATTACAACTGGGGGCTGCCCAATGTACTTTACAGCTTTAAAACAAAATTACCCATTAGTGAAGTATTTATAGGCTAATATTGAGAAGATCCTTTGCTTATGATTGACCTTGGCTGGTCTCTTATTATCAATCACATGATCTACCAATTAGAAAAAATCCAAACAGACAAATATTGTCTGATCTAATTACCTTAGCCATCTTCATTTTGAAGAGTCCCCCCTTCCACTCTGACTCCTTTCCCACTTTACTAGCCTAATTTAGGGAAGTTCTTGAGATGTATCTGAGCTCAGAATCCCCTTTCTCTCGATTAAACAAGAGGGAGCCCCGACCTCAAGGACCCTCAGGGCTCTCTCTCAGGACAGCATGCCAAACATACATTTAACTTTTCAAGCAATTCTAGAGTTTTGTAAACTCTTTACCACGCTGCGGATGGTAA